CTCAAAAGGGGTTGTGTGGAGGTGCTGGAGAAGATGAAAACAAGTGGGAATCGATGAAAACGGTACAGGGCAAGTGTTAGTACTTGTTATTTAATTGTAGCAACTCAGATCCTGCTGTTCCTTTTTCTGCTCTTTTTTTGCTTTATTTGCACTAGAGTTTGAAATCTTTAATTTTTTTAGGCTGACTTGCTGTTTGGCTCCTAACACAGTGTTTCAGGAATGATTTAGTAGTTTGGTAAGCCCATCCATCAGAGTCACAGTGTTTGGTGACAGCGCTCTGACCTCAGTCTTGGAGAACAGGGAATGCAGAGGGATGATGGTTCCTTCGTGCAAGGCCTTGGAACCACGGAGTCCAGAGTGTTCCTGGTGCTTGATAATTGCACAGTTTCCTCAGGCCTGGGATGGTAAAACAGAAGCTTGTTGCACAATTAGGGTTAATTATCCAGGAGGAGAAACTACCAGTGACTCCAGCATTATTGCAACATTCCTGTTGCTCATTCCCACCCTCCTGCATCCCCAGGACAGCGTGAAGGCTGCAGATGAATTTCAAGTGTGGAGCTGAGCTGGGCTCCAGACCCATCTGTTATGCAGGTGGTGTTGGGGAGAGGAATTTCCCTCCCATCCTGAAGGACAGGGCGGATGCAGCCAGACCTCGATGAGCTTTGTGGTGATTTTAAAGCAAACTGGTGTCCTCTCAGCTCTACATTTGTCTCCCAGCTCTCTGGCATGGACACACCTCCCAGGAGCTGGTCCCTCCTGAAGCGTGTGCTGTGGGGCTCTCCTGGGGGTGCTGCAGATTTGGGGTGCCTGTGGGCAGAGTGGTGGGAGAGAAGGGTTTGCTCTGTTCTGATGGATGTTCCCAGGTGACTGCAGCCGTTCCTGAGTGCTGGCTGGGGATTTCAAGTGCTCTTAGGGCCGGGGGCCTCGTGTGGGTGATGCTCCGTGACTGCCGGGGTGTGGGGTACCCGCCCCCCGCCCCTCGCCTGGAAATGCTGGAGGGCCCTTTCTTCCCTGTGTTTTTAAATAAAGAGGGAAATCCCAGTTGCTTTCCCAGGCTGTCCCTTTGCACTGTGTATGTTGGGTAAGAATTGCCGGGGTGTTGAACGCTGTCCCCACTGGGGTGGGGGGACAGGGTGCAGCAGCTGGGGGAGCCCGAGGCCACTGGTGGGTGCCCCCCACTCTCAGGGTGCTGCTGCCCTGCAAACACGGGGGCTCTGGGTCTGGGGGGACAGGGATGTCACAACTCTCTTTGCCTTTCCGAAGGTGTGGGAAGGAGGGAAGCTGCCAGACCAAGGCCCCGAGTGTTCCTCAGTGTAGCTCAGGAGAGCCTGGTGCAGGAAGGAATTTGGGGTCCTGCTGTGAGCTGGCAGCAGGGGGCTGGGACGTGGGAGCTGTTCATGACAATGGGCTTTTGCACATGGGATTATTATTTTTTTTCTGGCTCGCTGCAGAATTTTTTCCCCTCCACGGACTTTTCAGCCCAGTTGTTCTGCTGAGGAATGTGGTAGTTTCAGGAGGAAGCCACCCCCTGACCCCAGTCGAAGCTGCCAAACTCAGATCAGTGGTGACCTAACTGGGCAACAACCCCCCTTGCCCTGAGAGGAGGAGTTGGTGCAATGAGCCACAAAGCAAAACTGGAACAGGCAGAATTCCCGGCCAAACTGAGCCCCGGGGCAGCTCCACAGGAGGAGAAGAACCACAGGCAGAAGGTGGCCAAAGGCAAAGGGCTGGAGGGGCCTCAGCTTGCAGAGCTGTGTGAGACCAGCAGTGTGTGTTTGCTGTTTCACCTCAAGTGTGACCCGACGTTTGCATACACGGATTTTTGTGTCTGGCCCTGGCTGGGACTTGCTGCAGCTTCCTTTTCCCCTTTTTATTCAGCTGGGTAAGTTTTCAGCCTGCAGCTGGTGGGGCTTCCTCTTTTGGGTGCGAGGCTGTTGCAGCTCCCACAGGCAGCCTGTGCTGGGGGGTGCCTGGCACATGGACAGGAGCTGCCCCTGGGCAGCTCGGGGCCCTTCCCAGTGCTCTGACAGCTCCTGGATGCTCCAGACAGCTCCAGGTAGGAATGAGCTGTCACTAATGAGTGACAAGAGCTGCTTTGGAGAGGCCAGAGTGGGGAAAGGAACATTCTCCAGAGGATGCAGGTTCTACCAAACCTAACCCAGCTTCCCCTGAGGGAGGGAACAGGGTGTTAATAACTTGGAATTAGAGCTCCTGCCTTTGCCACAGAGTCCCTGTAACAGGGGTTACTCAACCTTACAGGTTCCAGCCTCAGACCCTGTGTCCCCTGGCCGAGTGGCCCATGACCATGAGGTAACCAGGGCCCTGGGGCTGGCCCCCATCTCTGTGTGGCTGTGACTCTATTAATCCCCAAACTACGTGGAGTCAGCTCCTTCCAGATTTTATTAAGGTTTGTTTGACCTCCTGTGTTTGCAAGGTCTGATTTCTTAAGCTGTCATCATGTGGGGAGTGGGGGGGAGAGAATCCAGGTTATTTTAAATAAGCAAAATATACACTGAACAACGTTGTGTCCAAGGTTTGTACAGAAGCATTAACGAGAGGAACTGCTCTGCACGGTGAGTTCCAGCTCTGTCAGTCCACGCTGTGCCAGGCAGAGTCTGGGCTGTGCTGGGAGAGAGGGGAGGTGCCCTGGGGGGGCTCCAGCCCTACCCCTCCCTCAGTACACGGTGCACCAGTTGCTGCCATCGCTGGGCATCAGCCCTCCGGTGATGAGCAGGATCAGATCCACAAACCACCAGATGCCCAGGCCCCCCAGGGTCAGCAGCTTCCCCACGGCCGTGCCGGTGTGGCCCAGGCAGAACCGATCCACGCCGAAGCAGCCCAGGAAGAAGGAGTAGAGCAGCGTGGTGATGAAGTAGTGCCCGGTGTACCTGCCAGGGGAGAGGCGGAGGGGTCAGGGGGTGTCAGCCTTCCCTGCCAGCCCGGGGAGGGCTCCGTCCCGCGGGCACGGGGGCTGGGGGGACACGGGGCCGCTCCTACTTGACGCAGGGCCGGCTGCCCCGCAGGAAGCTCCGCGGCTCGGCGCACTCGATGCCGTCCAGCGCCCGGCACTGCACCCGCGTGTGGTCAACCTCGCCGTGGGCCTGTCCGCCGAACTGCGGCGGGGGCAGCGCTCAGCGGGGCCGGGGGGCTCCGCGGGGCCGCCCCCCGCCCCCGCCGCGCCCTCACCTTCACGCAGCCGTGGCCCAGCTCCTGCTGCGCCGTGGCGTTCCCGCCGTGGTCCACCGGCTCCTCGCACTCCACGAACTCCTCGGGGCTGCGGGGAGGGAGCGGCCGGTGAGGGCGGTCCGGGCTGGGCCGCTCCCGCCCCGCCGCCCCCGGCCCAGCGCTCACAGGTAGGTGCAGAGGACGAGCGGCGCCCGCGGGTCTGTGTAGGCCCAGGCGGAGGCGGGCGGCCCCGGCGGCGGGTCGCGGGCCTCGGTGTCGTTGCCCGGGAGGCCGCGGCCGTGCAGCAGCAGGAGGTTGCCGAGCAGGAGCGCGGCCTGCCCGCACAGCAGCGCGTACCCCACGGGCGGCGCCATGGCGGGACCGCCGCCCCGCCCGGCCTCGGGCCGCGCCGCCCCCAGCCAATGGGCGCCCGCCGCCGCGCCCCCCGCAGCCAATGGGCGCGGGGAAGGGCGGCCCGCAGCCAATCAGAGCGAAGGCGGAAGAAGCCGCGGAAGGGGCTGCGCGCCAGCCGCGGAGGCGATTGGCTGCCGGGGAGGGCTGGCGGCCAATGGGCGGAGGGGCGGGGCGCCGGTGCCGCGCGCGAGCTGCTCGGAGCGCGCCTCCCGCCGCCGCTCCCGGGGCCCGCCGGGGCTTCACCGGCACCGCCCGCGCGGAGGAGCGGAGCTCCGGGACTGGCAGAGCCTGGTCTCACTTGTGGCTTCAGACGCTGCAGAGCTCCAGGATTTATTGGGTGGTTTCACCTGGTTCTTCAGAGAAGCTCCCATCGAGCCTGAACGACAGCTCTGTGGATGTGGGCATCCCAGGCGTGTTCCACCTCGCTGAGCAGATGAGCAGGGAGTTGATTTGACCCCAGACGTGTGCTCAGGAGCTGTCCCAGCTGTCTCACCTTGTCTCTGGAGCCCCAGGGGGTGTTGTCTTCAGTTCCTTGTATTGCAGGGCTGCAATAGCGGTGCTGAGTGATGGGAGAAGCCAAGGGAGATGGATGTGGCTCTTGCTACATCTGGACCTGGGAATCTCTTGCCCCTCAGGCAGGAACCATGGGATGATTCATGTTTGTGCATTATTTGTACAGTGCACAGAGTTATCTGTATGCGATCCGTGATATTACCATAACTCATGGGAAGCCTCCTGTATCTTGGGCAATGCCCAGGCACAGGGTATTTACCCCCTGACTCGAAGGCTCTGGAGGGATGGAGATGGAGATGGAGAACCTCGGTGTGGTGTTTGTCTGGCCTCTCACACGCTGTGTGTCGTGCTGCTCCTCCATCGCCCAAGTATAATGTGACAGATGTGTCACACGTTGTTTGCTCCTGCTTTTCCCAGAGGAAGACGCCGAGTTCTGAGGCTGCCAGAGCTCAAGGAGTGTTTGGAGAATGCTCTGAGGGACAGGGTGGGATTGCTGGGGCCGTGCAGGGCCAGGAGTTCCGCTGGATGGTCCCTGTGGGTCCCTCCCAGCTCAGTGTATTCTGTGATTCTGTGCTTCCAACGTGCCGCGCAGTTTTTCGGCAGGAAAGGCCGGCGGAGCGGCCGCGGCCGCGGTCCGTGCTGACACCGGCTCCCTTCGCGGGCGTTTCCTTCGGGACCCCGTCGCTTTGGGGACTCGGTTGTTTTTTATCCCCAAAAGCGCTGGAACAGTCCAGGTTCTTCCCGGGTGGCCCGGGGCGGTGCCGCTGCGGGTGCGGTGTCCCGGCGGGTGCCGGTGCCCGGGGCCGGCTCTGGTGCCGGTGCCCGGGGCTCGGGGCCGTCCCGGGGCTCGGGGCCGTCCCGGGGCGGGCGGGCGGGCGGCCCCGCCCCGGGGCGGTGCAGCGCAGGCCCCGGCCCGGCTCCATAAGGCCGCGGGGCCGCCGGCCGGACCCAGCGCCCCACCGGGAGGGGCGATGCGGGCGGGGAGCGCCATGGCCCGGGCCCGGAGCCGCCTCTGCCGCCTCCTGCTCATCCTCCTCGTCCTCCTGCTGCCGCCGCCGGCCGCGCCCGGGCAGCCCGCGGGTGAGTGCGCGGGGCCGGGCCGGGCCGGGCTGGGCTGGGCCTGCCGCCCGCACCCGCCCCGGCCCCCGATTCCCGTCCCCCCTTCCCCGTCCTCTCCGGAGGGTCGGGCCCCCCTCGGCATCCCCGGGGGCGCGGGGGTCTGTCAGCCCCTTCCCCTCCGCTCCGAGGGGTGGCAGGTGGGGCGGACGCCGCCCCCCTCCCCGTGTCCTTGGCCGGAGCGGGGGGTCCTGTCCCCGCGTGCCCCGCGGCGCGGGGGGCTCCGGGGGCGCGGGGGGCTCCGGGGGCGCGGGGGGCTCCGGGGGCGCGGGGGGTCCGTACGCGGGCGGCCCCGGCTGTCCCGGGGGATCGCCCGTGTCAGCAGGACGTGCTGCGGGTGCCGGCCCTGCCCGGCATCGTCCGTGCCCCCGGGCAGGGCTGCTGCGGAGGGGCCGCTGCGGCCCCCGGGACGCGCGGGGCGGTGCCGGCGGTGGGCGCGGGGCCCCTCGCCCCGGCCCGGGTCGGCAGGTGCCCGGCAGCGCTGCTGCTTCGCTCCCCCTTCGCTCCCCGCCGGGCGCGATCCCGGGCTCTGGCGGGGCGGGAGGCAGAGCACCCCCGGGAGGGGCTGTGCGGGTGGGTGGCCTTGGCCATCGAGGGGCCCGGGGGTCCTGCTCGGGGCAGGGATGCTGTCCCCGGGGATTGGGGGCAGGACTCAAACGGTGTGCTCGGTGTGGCTTTTAAGGAGTTGTTGCTGGTGTGTCCTCAGGGGCAGTTTATGGATTGAGACCATTCTGTTTATGGGCTCTTAACGGTGCTGATTCAAGGCTATACGTACACAACAGGCAACGTACACACAATTGTCTCTCTCTCATCATTTCCCCCTCCTGAAGGGACACACATACCTTGTTAAACTTTTGTGCTTGTCGTTAATGCATGTTTTTATAGTCAGGGCTTCCCAGCTGAGGAATCTTTTCTAAAGCAGGTACTGGTGCTTCATGCTGAGGACAGTGTTCATGTGGTGGGTGCCTCTCCCTGAGGGATTCTGTGCTGGAATCTCTTCTTTCACTTACGGGGGTGTTGCTTCCACACCTGCCAGCAATGTGAGGTGAAAGCCAAGCTTTGAGAGGTGGCTGGGGGTGGAGGTAGCACAGCCTGGCTGGAGGCCAAGGAACACAGTCTGAAATAGTGCATCTCTGGGATATCAGGTGCTTCCAGTGCAGTGGTTGGTGTTTTGAGGAGTCTGATTTTAGTTCCTACCTGTAGGAGGGAAGCACAGGCACTAGTTCCCAGTGGTGGATGGCAGTGGTCCTCTCTGCCTTCGGAAACCTCTGTCCCAGCTAATAATGCCAAACCTGCCATGAAACATAATAAACCTCCTTTGTCTGAAGTCTGAGCACGAAGGAGAGGGTAGAAACCTCCAACTTTTGGGTTATAATACAAGTGCTTTGTACACACATAGGGATGAGGAAGAAATGCAGTGTTAATGGAAACTATTAATTGAAACTTCCTGAATGACCATAATCACATGATGATGTGTAGCCTTAAGGGATTTGTGGAGTGTGGCTTTTCCTCTCTTATTTGTGTCCGTAGGAGGCCTCAGGGTTTGGCTCTGTGACTTAAAAAAGAAATCATAGGCAGGGGCTGTGTTTTTTGCTACTTGATCTCTTCCTTGGTGTCACACACATACCACGATTTTAAAGGAATTCTCAAAGTGCCTAAGTGCTTGGGTTTGAATTTCTGGGGAGACATGGTATTTGGTTAAGATAAATCTTTTGTTTAGATCATGGAAAACACAGCACTGCCTCACCCATATTTCAACAAATCTGAGACAATCATTCAGCAGAATAAAGAGGGGATTTGTGGTTATTTCCTCCATGTGAGGAGTAATGAGAAGAAAGATATTTCAGTGTGGCTAATGTTGCCTGTTGTAGTCCTTTGCTTTCAGAAAAAGGACGTTTGAACCATTACTTTAGAGTCTCTGCACATCTCCATCGTTCTCATTTCTCAAGCTAAAATTAAAAAAAAAAAAAAAAAAGAAAAAATGCATTGCACAGTTCCCTTTGGTGGCCAAATGTAAAGCCAAAATCTCCAAAGAGAAGGTTCCCATGGACTCTGCTGTGTCAGCAGAGCTGCCACTCACAGCTGCTGAGGTGGGCAGGAAGTGAGTGGGCTCCATGTGCTCAGCTCCTTTCCATGGACACGTTGTCACGGCTGGAAGGGAGGGACTTCAGGGCCATTGATGCAGAGGAAGGGTGTCACGGTGAGGTTATTCATCTTCCTCCACAGGGTATTGGGCTCTGCCCTGCTTCTCCTTGTGAGAAGGTTCCAGGGTGCAGAGGATCTTGAGACAGTACCAGCAGACACGTGTGACAGTCCTTTTTGTGGAACAAGGGGAGCTGTTGTCTTGCAGACAAATTAATGTTGCTTTAGGAAGGGCAGAAGGAATGGGGAGAGTCTAGACAGGAAACACTTACAGCATAGGTCTGGATTTCAGCAAGGGGAAGGTAAGAATTTTCTAGGAAATACTGCTGTGGAAGAGCCCTGTAACCTCATCAGTGTCCAACACCCCCAGTGAGATACTGAGAGAAACTGCATTAACTGTTCTGGCCAGCTTTAATGTTACACAAATATTCCAGGTGAGCAACCCAGGGAGTAGATGGTGCCATGAGGGTTGGTCACCTCTTCCTGCCTTCTGAAAGGCACTGGGACAGCAGGAGACCCAGCAGGTCTGAGGGCTGAGCACAGGGGAGGGAACAGATGGAAAGAAAAGTCCCCTGTAGAAGAACAGCTGGCCAGATGTTCCTGGGTGCTTTGAAGATGAAGCACCACCAAGGCACTCTTTTTAGCCTTTGAGGTATGGGAGGAGCTGGAACTGCTGGCCCCACAGGACATGTTCCTACTTTTAGTGGAAGACTCGCTAGCTTTGTGTTTTGTATAAACCTCTAAACATTTTTAAGTGGACTTGGATAATATTTACACAATGAAAGTGAAGGAGGTGTTTGCTTCCAGTAATCCAAAGAGTAAATCCTACTACAGCTGTGACTTTAGTGAAAAAGTCAACTGCACCTAAAAATGCTTTTCCTGGTATGTCATTGCTTGGAGAAATCCACTGAGGAAGCAGTGGTGGTTCTGTTGTTCTGAAGGACGTCTGTAAGCCAGGCCATGGAAGTTTCTCCTCAAACAGACACTGCTTGGCAAAGTCCTTCATGATTCTGAAAATAGGATATGGAGAATGCAGATTGATCTGGCAGCTGGTGCCCTTCCAGCCGGTTGGGATTCAGGCTCCTTAAAGGCAGGGATAGCACTCCCGGTGATTTGGACACATGAGAGAAGTATCTGGCAGAAAGAAGTGGCTTTGAAAGGACAGTGCAAAGTGTTCTGCTGAGGTGGAAATAATTGTGTGCACGAGATCACAAGTATGAGAGGGTGAAAAATGGGGAGCAGGAGTGTGTTGGCCGGAAAGGGAGTGAGTGTTGGAGTAGGTTAAATGACAAGTGAATCAGCCACATGCCATCTGTTTTGGAGGAAGATTAACCTGTGGAGATCCATAAACACACAAAGCATGTGTGCCTTGGTACGTGTGAGGTCTCACTGGGCTGTTGTGTTCTGTCTTTTTTGGGATAGGTACAGTCTGACTGAAGAGTGGAGCCAGAACAGCCTAATATGAACAGGCAGGGGTGTAAGATATAGGTTCCACAAGGAAATATTGAACACTGGTGTTCCTTAGTTGAAGGAAAGGAGAGGGGATTGTGACAGCACACTGTGGAAATCTAAAAATTTGCAGCCAGAGAGAAGGGAGTGAACTGTTCACCTCCTGTGGGGATTAGAGGTACGGCTTAAAGCACAACAAACGTGGTCTGTGGGAGATCAGATTGCTTAGTGGAGCTGCTCTCTGTGGAACTGGTCCTGCCCTGGGCCCCGATGGGCTGGATGGTGTGTAAGGCTTTTGGCACTTCTGGTGAGCAATCCCCTGGCAGAGTGTGGAAGGGCTGGTGTGGCTGACCTCGGCTGTTAATTGTAATTGATGATAACCAGGGTCAATTTGATGAGTTTGGGTATTTAATACTTTAGCAATGTGTATCTTTTGACTCACGTGCGTGGTTGATGGAAGATTAGAACTCATTGCTGTGAACTGATGCCCTGGGTTTAGCATGGTTTGGGTCACACAATCTTCCTCCTCTGTGGGGTTTATGGCACGCTCCTTGTTAGCATCTGCCTGCAGCCCAAGCTGCTGAGCTGCTCATGTGCTGCTGAGCTGGTTTTTATGAAATTAGTTTAGTTGGGGGTGTAATAGGCCACAGTCTCAACTTTTTTTTTTTTTCTTCCATTTAAGAGAGTATCTTTGACTTCCCTTTGGTAGTCTTGGGAAGGAGTCACAGCCCAGGAAGGATGATAATTGAGGGGAAAGGCGAGTGTAGGTGGATGTAGCTGTGTGCTGGGACTCTGTAGCTGAGCCAGCAATCCGTGGGCATGCCAAGGTCAAGGAGGACAGGGGTTGTAGCATGACCTTTGCTGAATACAGATCTTACCTGTCAGGCAGTGAACACCCCAAGAGCTCACCTCAGTGTCTGGGGAGCCGTTATGGCTGTGATGTGTTCCCGTGCTTTTCAAGCTCCCACATGCCATGGAGCGTGCACAGAATTCCTCCGGTGGATTTGGGGCTGGGAGGGGAAGATGATTCACGAATCCAATGCTTGCTAATTAATGGCAGCCTTTAATGAGATAAGTGTGGCGGATGCAGTGGTGTTTCTCTCTTGGGAAACACGATCCCAGCCCCTGTTCCAGCCGGGAATGGAGCAGCAGCAGCGTGTTCTCGGTGGTGACGTGGTCCAGCTCTGACAGCTGCCTTGGCCAGTGGCAGGAAGCACCTGAGGACCAGAAGTCCTGTAACTTGCTGAAAGATTTCTTACAAACGGCTGTGCTAGAGAACCATTGATGTATTGCAGTGGTCTCCCTGCTGGAGACTCCCCATCACCTCCCAGACTCGGGGTGGCGAAGGGAGGGAAGTAGGGCAGAAAGTGGGGAGAGAATTGTCAGAGTGTTCAGAGAGTTGAAAATTGGCTTCTTTTAGTGCCTCTGCTCTAAGAGGATCTTCTTGGAGTTGTAGTCTTCCCAGAAATCCCTCCCAGTTCTGCTTCATGTGATGATTCACTTCTTTGTCTTCTGCTTCCAAGCAGCTCTTGGGGAGACGTGTCGTGTTCCAAGTGCTGTGAAGGTTGGCTGTGCCCTGCTGTTTGTGTAACGTGTGCCCTGAGACCTCCAGAACCTGGTCCAGGTGCCACAATGTCACATCCCAGTACAACAGGCACTTGGGGCTGGCAGGGGGAAAGGACAAGTGCAGAGCAGTGACCTGCAGGAGCTTGGGGCTGGGCACGAGTGGAGTGTGTGGTTGGAAATGACAAATGTAGAGAAGTGATTGCTGCAGTGTGTGCTTTTGGAGGTTCATCCCAGGGGAGGAAGCGTCCCTTCCCTCCTCTGTTTTCGGGCCAAGGAGGTATTGACACTGTGTTCTGGAGCTGGTGACCGTAAGGGGTTGCTTTCAGGAATCTTATCTCTGGTTTTTAAATACCTTTTGTTCGATAAACACCGTAATTAATGAACGTTCTGCTGCAGTATTTGCCCTGTGTGATTTCCCGAGAAGCAGCCTGGCTGTGCCTGTGCTCAGGGGGCAGAATTGCAGTGTGACAGGCTGGGGCAGTGCAGTGGATCCGTGGCCTCCAGACATGGACACACAGTTATGGGAGGGAAGCTGGAAGTGACCCCATGGCTTGTTCTTTGGGGAGACTGGTGGGAAGAGTGCGGAAGTGGATGTGCTTTTCCCGTGGGATTCCTGTTTGAGTGCTGACCTGAGGTGATGTGTGTCAGCCTGCCAGGGATGGGAAGAGGCAGCAAAAGCATCTGCAGGAGCCAGAATGTCACTGCAGCCTGGGGGCTTTTGGGGAACCCCTGGCATTTAAAGCCTTTGTGGGGGCTCTGCCCGCTTCCCAAAGGATGGAGCAGGCTTCCCATGGAGGCTTTGAGCTCACAGAGGCTGTCCTTTGACTGGAGGAGCCAAAGGCCCTTTGGAGGTGTGGTGTGAGTTTTGGTGTGCCCAGAGGGGCTGGTTTTAGATGGATGCAGCATCCTAGTCCCACTTGAGAGGTTTTGGAGTATCTTGGACACCAAACACACACTCACTCACCTGCCCCAGACACGGTGATGATTTCTGGAGACAGATGCTGAGGATAACTGTTCCCTTCCCCCTACGTTTGCCGGGAAGCTCAGGCTCCTCTGAGCTCATTGATTCCATTGCCATGAGCCAGTAAAACCACTGCTCTGGATCCTGCCTTCGATCCTGGGCGACCAACCTCCTGCTTCCTGGGGGAGCAGCTTCCGAGCCCGGCACTGGCAGACACCACCATGACAGAAAAGTGATTTGCATGTGCAGTTTATTGTTGTTTACACACTTGATGTAAAAGAGTTGCTTGCAAAACCTGATGTTTTATGGAGGGAGCTTGAACTCTGGATTTGTGTTTGGTTCAGGGGATCTGTCTGATGTTGCATATGCAAATAGTACATAAAGGGATCTGCGACGGCCACTTTGTTGCAGGGATTTGTTTCACCTCAGCTGTTTTGATGAGGCCCTTGAGAGCTGTTTAAGGACATAATGAATAGCATCAGGCTCGTGTCAGGGGTTTGGCTGTGCTGAGCAGGGCAAGGGCGTGAGGCTGAGCTGTGCTGTGGGAAGTGCAGGAGCTGCTGGAGCTCCTGGAGAGAGCTGAGCCGGGGCAGTTGTGCAGCTCTGCAGCACAGGACACCTGGGCTGGCACTGCCTGGGTGTCCTTGAGCGAGTCCTCCCTGCGCTGACCCGCTTTAAATGCTCGATTCCTGCTGGTGGAGGGTGGTGGTGTGGGAGATGGGTACTGGTAAGGCAGTAATTGGAACGTGAAGGTTTAGTTTTGAAACTTTCTGGTAAATTTGGTGTCTTCTCTGCTGTTTGTGTGTTGTTTTCTCTGGCCTCTCACAAGGCAATCCAAGTGTGCAATCCAGGCGTGTCTTGCTGGGAGGTTTCCTCCGTGCTTTTCCTGAGACAGTGTTTTCTTCCCTGTGCCTCATGCTTCTGATTACTTTGTTCCTTTAGCCAGCGTTTCTCTCCTGCTTTCCAGGTTTCCAGCAGATTTCCCTGCTCTCTTCCTATGAAGTTGTAACCCCGCAGAGGTTGGGAAGGGAACGGCGAGAGGCTTCCAACAGCTCCTCAGTGCAGGTATTGGGCAGCCTTACCTTCAGTTTAGTGTCTGCTTCCTAACGAGATCCACCCAAAACTGGCCTGAAACGCTCATGGAATGCTGTCAGACTCATCCTGCAGCAGGCAAGCATCCATCCTTGCAGAGGGTATCACCTCCAGCACTGCCTGTAGCTAAGCACCAGTTGCTGCAGTGGGTTTTTGATCTGGGTGTAAAAAGTTGCATCGTGAGAGTTGTTCAGCACTGGAATGAGCTTCAAGAGGGGTCAAGAAATCATTCCCCAGTTACACAGGAAGGGATGCCAGCTTCTGGAGGCAGGGACAGTTATAAAATAGATTCCAGGCTCACCCGCTTTTGTGGATTTCCAAGAATGTTTTATTCATTGACATGAGTAAAATGCAACTCTTTTTGTTTTTATATTCAGGACAAAGTGTCATATGCAATCGAGATCGAGGGACAGGAATACACGATTCATCTAGAGAAGAACAAGTAAGTGATGAGTTCCTTCAACCTGTGGTGTCCAGGTGACAAGCTGGCAGGTAGCACACGAGTTCCACTTCCTGGGGTTCTCTGTGGGGAGTGCAGGAACATCCCAGCTCTGCAAAAAGGGCAGAGACTGAGTCCCAGAGTCCTGGCTATCAGCCAGAGACGTTTTTAGATTCCTGCAGCCCTGGGATCCCCTTTCAGAGCAGGAAGCTGCAGTTTGCTCAGAGGGGATCTGGGAAACCGTGGACGCGACTCTTTCCATTCACAGCTAAAAATAAACAAGCTGAACTGCATTTCGAGTAAATATTTTCACTTTTGTCTGGGTTTGGTTTATTGCTTTAGGCTTGTGTTTTTTCCTGTCTCAGTAGCACAAGGACACTAATAAATGAGGGAACTGACTTTCCATCCAGGGCCACTGAGAGCTCCCAGCCAAGACAGATGCTGTCAATTTGGGGCTGAAGTGTTGAAGGGCCACTTAGAGCACCAGCACGTGGCCATTGCTGCTCCAAACTGCCCTCGTGATAGAGACACAACTGTACAAGTCCCTGGGGAGCTCCAGCTGCCACTTGCCAAGGCTCTGACCCTCAGAAACGTGGGAATTCAGCTGCACCACATCAATGGAATCACCAGGATGGCGCAGCAATCTTAGTCGTGGGAGACTTTCCCAGTGCACTTTCTCCCAAAACTGGGCAAGAGAAGGCATATGCAGCAGACTGAGGGCTGGGATTTTTTTTTCTTGCTTGAAAACAGGCTTTTAGCACAATTTAATGGGTTTTGCTGCTTGTTTTACTCTCTGAGTGGTTCATTAACAGTTCCACCATTCTGCTCTCTAGGATTTTGCTGTGGAAATGCACAATTTCTTCATTAATTTTGGAGGTTTTTCCTTTTGAGTACTTCCTTATTTAATTGCATTTTACATATTTGTCACACTTTTGATTAGTATCATCTTGGTCCTCTGCTCAAGTGTCATTTCGTGAAATTCCTCTTGTATTCCTTCTCCCCTTTCCTTGCAGAGAACTGCTGCCCAAAGATTTCACAGTTTATACCTATGACAAGGAGGGAAAGTTGCAATTGAAATATCCAGATGTCCAGGTAGGATTTCTTTCTTTTCATGCCCGCACTGAAGGTGAGTGGAACACTGAGCATCTGTGAAGTCAAGGATTACAAAAGGATAGTTGTATTTTCTGCTGGGCCACCTTCAGGACCCACTGCCCTCTTCCTGGAGAGAATCCTTAATTTTGGATGAGGATCTAGCCTGTAATGGACACGTATTTTCTGATGTGGAGGTGGTTGCTGTCTCATTAAAAGCTGCTCTTTCTCTAAAAGGCAGTGCTGCTCTCAGCTGTCGCTGTCTCGTTGTCAGAGCAGTCCTGTCCTTGTCACACAGCCCAGCGTGGGGCTGGTGTCACTGCTGCCTTCCTTCTCCCAAGGACAGGAGCCTGTGGGGCAGCACTGGGTGCTCTGGGGACTGTACAGCAGCTTTGCTTTTGTTTTTGCACACAATGGGCTTCCAGAAGGGTCCCAGCGTGACCGGTCGCTGCTGACCCTCCGTTCAGCAGGGCTGGCTCGTGGTCACTGACCACTCTGGAGGGCTGACAGGAGACCCATTAGCCCTGAAGTTTGGGAACTGCTGGGAGGGATGACTGAGATGGAGGCCGGAGGACCTCTGAGAGGATGTGATCTGTGCAGCACTGGAGTTACTCCCCTCAAAGTGCATTTCCAGCCTCCTCCTGCACGAGCAGCCTGCCTGACAGGCTGCCTGTGGAAATGTAACTGCTTCAGTGGAATGGGAGTAAAAAGCAGGTTGTGTGATACAAAATGCATGAGAGTATTTCTGATGGCTCCACTCCTCCTTTGAAAGGGAAGTGTTAGTCATGCATGATTCATAGGATCTTGTTCTTGAAAGTAGAACACCTGAGTCAACTGAGTATTTGCTTCCTAGTTAAAAGGGATTGAGTAGAGGAAAAATGCTTTTTCTTCACGAGGTCGTGAGAGTCACAGTGGCCCTGAAGGATTAGCACATGCCTTAAGTGCTTTCTGCTTTCCTTGCTGAGCAACAGGTGACAGAGTCTGTATTATAAACCCCTGTAACAGTGTCCAGAAATGCCCCTGCCAGAGAAAATGGAGTGTATTTGCCCCGTGCTACCCCTTGTCTAGTTTCCAAGATACGTATATCTGGAGGGCACAGGGGAAGTGTTCCCTCTGTCAGGCTGTCCTGCAGAGCCAGAGAGCTGTGGCAGTGCTGGTGGGTGAGGACAGCAGGTCCTGTCCCTCCTCCTGCTGCGGAGAGGCCGTGGAAGAGCCAGGACTGTTTGCCAGAAGACTGAATTGGCCCAAATCTGTAGGGAGGGGCTGACCTCGAAATGTTTGAGGCAGGGTGGAGGATGGAACAGGAGAAGGGGTAGCCTGGGTCATGTTAAGAAATCCAGCTGCTGGATAAGGCTCCAGGCCCGCTCTCCTGGTGTCCCTCCCGTGTCGGCAGCTCCGAGTCCGGCTGCAGGAGGAAGGGCTGAGGGGCCAGTGGGCTTTCAAACTGAAACCCATAGTGAGCTGCTGGCCCCTTTGAGCTGGGAGGAGTGTCTGCTTTACAGGAGCAGGGATCCTGTTGAGTCCTGTGTCCTGGCATCTTGGCTAGTGTCATGTATGTCAGTCCTCGTGGGACCAAGGCAGGTCAGGAAACCTTTAGATGCACGTGAGCAAATGTGGTAGAGCTGGAACAGTGTTAGAAGCTGCAGAGTGTAAGGCATGTGGTAAATCTAACTGCAAGCCTTTTGTTTTCTCAGGTTGTAGTCACAGCTGGTCAGTGGTAGGTCAGAGATCCCCCTGGGTGTGCAGGTACTCCTGGAACACGTGTGTAACACGCCCTTGTTTTCCCCTCCAGGATCACTGCCATTATCAGGGACACGTGGAGGGGACCCTGGATTCCGTGGTGGCTGTCAGCACTTGCTCAGGGCTCAGGTAGCACAACTCATCCTTTGTGTCCTGTCTGTCGTGTCGTGGCTGCTGACCCTGAAACCCAGTTCTGCTGGTTTTAGCTGCAGCTCAGCCAGTCAGGGGGTCACTGGCCAGGCTGAGCTGCCTTGGTACTGTTGTCCTATGGCATCTTTTATTCGTGGAGTTCCCAGATATTTGAAGTACTATTAAGTTATTACTGCAGTTTGTTACCAGTAGGTTGGTTTTGACACAGATTTCTCTTATTTTCTGATTTGCACAGATGGTCATGTCAAGGAACTGGACCTAAGTGCAGAAATGAAAAGTCAAACACCAGTCTGCAAATTTCACCAAATTGGCCCTAAAGCTTGTGCACCTCAAGTTTGATTGAAAATTTATTCTGCTTTGGTCTGATTGCCTTTTGGTCTAATGTTTTGAGCCATTGATTTTTTTTTTTTTGCAGGGCCATGCCAGGCCCCAGAGTAGCAATAGTGTATTTGAACTAAAGCATTTCTGCTTAAGGCCTGTGATGTAATTCCTGGGGCATTGCAGATTCCTACAGAAGTGTTTAATTTACTGGATTTGTAAGGCCCCCTCCAGTGAAAGGCTGCTGCCAGGCCTGAAGTGGAGTGTGCTGGTTTGCAAGGACTGAGATACAGGCAGGCCTTGGTTATCCAGGAATAACTGTTCCTTTGTTCTGCTTTCTGGGTAACTGCCCTCTGTGCTTAGTGCTGGGTTTCTCACACACTGCCATGTTCTAGGGGCTTGGTGACAATAGGGAATGTCACTTACGGGATTGAGCCCATGGATTCCTCCTCTGGCTCTGAACACATTTTGTATCGACTGGATAATGTGAAGAAAGAGCCCACGACGTGTGGAGTGAGCACTGAAGGCCAGGAAGAGGAACAGGCCGAGGGAAATCCCCATCCCAGTATGACCCAGCTGCTCCGGGTAAGTCCTTCCCAGTCCCCTGTAATGGGTTTTGTGAGTTCACCTCAGAGTATGGAAGCAGCTTAGCAGATTTCCTTGGGCTTAGCACATACCTAAAGGTTTATGATTTGGGAGGTTTCTGCACTGCTGGAAAACTCAGTCCCTTCACCAAAAGCAGTTTCCTCCTGCCTCTGCACGGGGCAGTGAGGGGGGAGCAGCTGCTTAGAATGTTCCTGGGCCTTTTGGGGGGGCTTTTAAGGCCAGGAACACCACCCTGGTGGGGAGGCTTGTTAGGGAAGTGCTGCATCAGGAGCCAGGAGAACATTGTGGTGCTCATTCCATCCTCCTCACCACCACAAGAGCAGTTTGCTGGGAAGGTCCTCCTTGCCCTTCAAGGACTGGCTGTGCAGGAACAAGATTCCAGTGAAAGCAGGGGAATGAGAAACACTGTGTTTCACTTCAAGGTTGTTGGCATTTGCTTGTAGTATCTTTCTGCCCCTTTATTAAAGTGTGTGCTGTCTTTTCAAAGTGACCTGTGTGGAGAGTGAAAAGATCCCTTGCTTTTGAGACACAGGAAGTCTTTGTGCAAGCTGAGTTTTAGTGTAAAACCCAGAAATGGTCATTGCATTGGATTACACTGCTTGTGTTTGGCACCCTGTGCTTTGGGTGTGTCTCAAACCACTGGTTGTATCAAGTGAAATATGACAATGTCATGAGGTTTGGGGGTTTTTTTCCTTGTTTACATGGGAATTAATAAAACTGAAGTTGTCTAAAACTTTTTTCCCCAGAGAAAGAGAGCAGTCCTGCACCAGACAAGATATGTGGAGCTGTTCATAGTTGTGGATAAAGAAAAGGTAGGGATTGTGTGTGGCTTCCCCTTTCTTCTCCTCAGGAATGGGCCTGGAAAGCCCTCAGGCTTTGTTACTCCCAAATGGCTTGTTGAAAAACACTGACACTTTAGCCAAGATTGTGCAAATATGCTATCCTAGAAGTGGATGAATGTGTGCTATGCAGTCCTCCTCAGGAAAGGTGTAAACTACCAGACATGGAGAGGTTCTGTCAGCAAGGAATCTTGTAATGAAAGGAAAGCACATGGTAAAAAACTGCCTTTGCTGTTTTCTTTGGAATATCGAGCTGTTGAGCTCTCTTGATTCACAGCATCTTGGAGATTTGGAGCCAGACAAAAATGTTTTTCGTGTTCTTAGCCTTAAAATGTTCTGTTCCTTCTTCTGACTCTTATCTTTATCTCTTCTCTTCATGACTAATATTTTTTTTTTGTCTTGCAGTTCGAAGATTTTGGGAAGAGTGAAACAGAAGTAAGAGAACACATGGTGCAGCTGGCAAACCTGCTTGACAGTGTGAGTAGCAGGGATGCTGTGTGCTGCAGCTCTGCTGCCTTTTGTAAACTTCCACCTCAGGGTCTGTTCTGGTACCACTTCAGGGAATGCATCACCGTGGAAGCTTTTCCACCTCTAAATTCATCTGCAGCCAACCACCTGGAGAATTAGTTTAGGGAACTCTTCCAACCTGTGCTACCTACAGCAAGTGACAGGACAGATTGTTGCAATTATTGCAATTCCTGTGTCTGTGTAAAGGTTAGGGTAAGTGAGTTAATCTGTAACTTGACTGTTTCAGATGATATTTCTCAGGATTGAGACTCCTTTTTATTTCTGTTTGGTGTCTTTTTTACAGTGTGGCATTTAAGCATTGATCCTTCACCTAATGAAGGTCTAAATTACAGGGCAAATGCATTCTGCTGATTCCAATTGTGTACTAGCTGGGGGGGGGAATCAAACCCACACAGAAGGTGGATACTTGCAATAAGATCTATAGCACCAAGCCACTTGTTTTTATCTGAAGGCGTTAATAAATACTTCTCCTCTTTTTTTTCTCCCCCAGATGTACATCATGCTGAACATCCGCATCGTGCTGGTTGGTCTGGAGATCTGGAAGTACGAAAACATGATCAGCATGGACGGGGGGGCCGGGGATGTGCTGTGGAACTTCGTGCAGTGGCGAGAGAAGAACCTCGTCGTGCGGCGGAGACACGACAGCGCCCAGTTAGTGCTGTGAGTGCCAACCCTCCCCTGGGAGACCAGGGAACTCCTCCTGCTCCTGCCTGCTCAGCCCAGCTGTTGTGCCAAGAGGAGCTGCTGGGCAACCTGCAGTGGTTCATGTCTTGTGGAAACATTGCCAGTGAAGTGAAGCGTTTTTAAGGAGGTTTCTGTGCTCTCTGATTTCGGTGCCCTCTGACAGGTGTATTGATAAACAACACGGTTTTTTCTCGTCCCACGTGTTCTGTGTTGTACTTCTGTTCAGATAATCCTTTGTCACTTTGTGACAGATGGGGCTTGTGATCCAGGGCCTTTTCCACTGGAAAATGAGCACAAACGTGGTGCAGAGCATTGCATTTTAACAGGGAAAAAGTTGTCTCTGCAGTTGGTGCAGTCACCAGAAGCCGGTGACGTGGTTTGAATTTGGCACAGGATGTTAATCTGTCTGTCCCTGCTGCCTTAAGCAAGCCCAGAGCTTCCTGAGCTGTTCTCTGCCCTGTTCCAGGACGTGTGCCCCAGTGCACTTCCTACTCCTGCAGATAGCACAGGCCTTGGGAAGTCACAGCCCAAAGCAGGGAAAGGGCAGAGGCAGGAGCACAGCCCAGACTGCCCTTTCCTTCCTCTGGGAGCTGGGAACCTCCTCCCCTCCAAGGCAGAACAGCAGCATGCAGGTGATAGGGAAAATGGCTGAGAAAATGCTAATTTTAGAAGTTGTTCTCTATGAAGTAAAATGTGGTACAAGTGTGCTGTGGCACTTCAGCTTCGAGAACAAAGTGAGAGAGTAATGAGAAGGAAGTTGACAAAGGGAGAAATCCATGGAGCTGACCAGAGCAGAAAGGCAGCTGACAGCAAATTAAACCAAGTGATTTTAAGGGTGGACCATTTAGCTTTTTATGTGCAGGGGAGATGTGGAAGAGGCTGACTTCCTGCAAACACTTGTCTTAAATTAACAAAATTAAGGAATCTTGAACAGAAAGCTACAGCTGAACTGGTATGTTCATGGCTGCAGTCAGTAGCAGCAGTGCTCCTGTGTCAGCCCTGGAAAGCTGGAGCAGCAGGATTTGTGCCCCACAGGCAGGAGCAGTGTGCTGATGGGCTGTGAGTGTCTGAACAGTCAGGTGATGGCCTTTCCTTTCTCTCCATGACCGTAGGAAGAAGGGGTTTGGTGGCACAGCTGGAATGGCCTACGTGGGAACAGTGTGCTCCAAGAGCCATGCAGGAGGCATTAATGTGGTGAGATTTCTTTAGTGATCTCTGGATGTGATCAAGATTGGAGTTTTGCACTCCAGAAGTCTTCCTGGAAGTGCAGAATCTTTCACAACCAAGCTGAAGTGGCTTACTGGGGGCTTTTATATTGTCCTCAACCATTTCTGACACTTCTAGGATATCTGGATCACAACTTCTCTGCTCTTCTCTGCAGCACTCATGCAAAAGGGACAGGATTTCTCTGTGATATTTTAAGCACTCCTGACTTGGAAGTGTGTGGGAGCTGTGGGTGTTCTCAAATCTGTCCTGTGCTGTCTAACCTGCAGCCATGACCTCCCTGAGCAGTGCCAGTTCACTGCCTGTTTTATGTGGAATTGCAGAGCCTTAATGAACTGAGCTGCTGGTCTTGGATAACTGGCAATCCCAGCAGTCTGGTTTCCTTGGACTAGTGACAGAAGTGCTGGAATTTGCACGTTTCAGGAGATCAGGGCTGGTGTGGAGAATTCTGGGTTTTGTGTTAACGTTGCAGCTGCTCCAGAAAGCAGAGGTTGTTGGGTAGTGTCCCAAAGAGATTTCTCTGAAGGCTCTTATTACTAAGCAAATTCCATGCACTTGATTGGAAACCCGGCACTGTTGATCTGAGAGTCCTGATAATGTAGAGACAGAACAGCAGAAGTGTCTCTTTGGCACATATGTAAACACTGACTGTGTCAGTATAAGTTCTCTTCTGACTGCCTTCTGTTTCACTCCTGTGCAGTTTGGAAGGATCAGTATCCAGCTGTTTGCATCCATCATGGCTCACGAGCTCGGCCATAACCTGGGGATGAACCACGATGACCAGCGTGGCTGTCACTGCGGGGCCAGCAGCTGCATTATGAGCTCTGGAGCATCGTAAGTAGCTCACCCAGGGAAGGCAAAGGAGGGTCAAAACACCCCATCCATGTACTTCATTGTTGTGGATTACTTTTGTCTTCAAATTCCCCTTTCAGAGAGCAGTGTCACGCTTGTAGCTCATGGGGAGAGCGAACACCACCCGTGTTCTGCAGACAGAGGGGATGCTCGTGGGGTTTCTCAGTGTAAAACTCAGCTCGTGCTCTCTGTTGCAGGGGATCGAGGAACTTCAGCAGCTGCAGCGCAGAAGACTTTGAGAAGCTGACCCTCAACAAGGGTGGGAGCTGCCTGCTCAACGTTCCGAGGCCCGACGAGACCTACAGCATCCCGTACTGCGGGAACAGGCTGGTGGATGCTGGGGAGGACTGTGACTGTGGCTCACCAAAGGTTCGTAGCTGGGTATTGCTAGGGCAGCCTTGTGCCCCTTGCTCAGAGGGGACAGTTTTGTGACACTCACAGTACTTCTGTTCTCAGGAATGTGAGAGTGACCCGTGCTGCGAGCCAGGAACTTGCAGGCTCCGATCAGGTGCTGAATGTGCTTACGGTGACTGCTGCAAAAACTGCCAGGTAGGAGACTCCAGCCTGTTGTTTGGAAGTTGAGGAAAGAAGAGCATTGGCTCAGCCAGTGCATCTGTGAGAGGGAGGTGTCCTGTGAGTCCAGGGCTGCAGATCAGCCCCATGTGGGGTGTCGTGGGTCAGCTGCAGTGTCTGTCTCTGCCGTGAGGTTCCCGTTTCCTGATGCAGTTTCCCCTCCCTTCTCCCCTCAGCTCCTTCCTGGAGGAACCGAGTGCCGGGTGAGTAACAACGAGTGTGACCTGCCCGAGTACTGCAATGGCACGTCCCAGTTCTGCCAGCCCGACTTCACCGTGCAGAACGGGCACCCCTGCCACAACCAGGAGGCCTACTGCTACAACGGGGTGTGCCAGCACCACGACGCCCAGTGCCAGGACATCTTCGGCTCCAGTAAGGCAGAGCACGGTGTCCCAGCCTCTCTAGGAGGTGTAACTGAAGAGTACACTGAGTTTTATTTAAAGTACAGTCGTTGATCGTTCCCGGTGCAGTGGGGTTTCTGCTCTATGGGGCTGCAGTGAAGCCATGAAGAAATATTAAGTGGTAGAACTGACTCAGTGTTGAGCAACTGGTTTTTTCTCTCTTTTTTAAACTTGGAGCTTGTAATTGTAAACTTGGAGCCACTGTCACCTCCTCATGGTTCCTAAGCTCCCTGCTGCATGGTGAATACTTGGGGAAGCAGGGTAGTTGCTTTGGGTATGGGAGACATGGTGTGAGATGTTTCTGTCCCTGGGTAATGTGTCTTCTCCCTCTGGGGATGGGCTGTTGTTTGCAGAAGCCAAAGCAGCCCCAAACATTTGCTTTAATGAAGTGAATTCCAAGGGGGACAGATTTGGCAACTGTGGTTTCCATGGCCATGACTACAAGAAATGTTCCAGCTGGTGAGTTGAGCCCAGTGCATTGGGAAGTTCTGAAATGCATCGTTGGGAATCTGAGTTTGGGTGCTGTGGTGTCCCTTTGGGATGTTGCAGCGGGTGCACCGAGGAGGGATGTGGGGCTGTGGCGAGGAGAGTGTGTTCCACATCTCCCATCATGGATTGTGCTTGTCCCGGGGGCTCACATGTGGGCAAAGGAGCAGTAAATCATCATGTTTTCCTTAATGTAAAGATCCCAACAGCTTACAGAAAGAAGGGTGCTCTTGCAGCACTGAAATGAGGCCCAGTTCAGTTTTATTTGTCAAGTTGCCTCAAGTTTATTTTCAGGTAGTGTCTTCAAGTACAAAGAAAAAATCAAATCAAACGTGTGGTAGTCTTGTTCTCAGAGTGAATTCAAGTGTCACTACAGTGTTCCTGTGTTGCTGTTGTAGGAATGCCATGTGTGGGAAGCTGCAGTGTGAAAATGTGAAAGCCATGCCTGTGTTTGGAATCAAGCCTGCCATTATCCAAACTCCCCTCGGAGTCACAGACACCACGTGCTGGGGGGTGGATTTCCAGCTGGGCTCTGATGTCCCAGACCCAGGAATGGTGAATGAAGGCACCAAGTGTGGTAATGGAAAGGTAATTAACAATTAAAAAGTGATATCCTAATGTAATAATTCGGGATGTTCACGGGAATAAAATTTTCAGCTGCATTGTTTGGTGCATATTTATGAGCATTATTTTTTGATGCCTGCAGTTAATTTAAAACTCAACGAGTCCACTGATTCCCCTCACTGCCCAGGACTGCACTGCTTGTGCATCAAACACTTAATGAGCCTTTCACTTGTAGGTGAAGCGAAAGAAATTGAGTTTGTTGAGAGCCAAAATCTTTGCTCTGTCAATGAGCAGGAAGAGCCAGGCCCGCACAAATGCCTTGAAGACAACTTTCAATTAAAATCCAACTAAAGAGCACAGAGGCTTAGCCCAGGCAGAGGAATGTGCATTCCACACGTCCTTACTGGGCACAATTTAATTGCTGTTCCTTTACATTCAGACTAGAGACAAAAGGCTCTAGTGCCAGCTCAGGCCCCATGCTGAGAGGCCTTTTGTGGGACAGAGTTTCTGCAGAGTTGGGGTTTATCAGCGAGAGTGTGAGAGGCTTTGTGGCAGCGAGCACTGTGTGGCTGCACAGCCCCAGGCTGGGAGCAGGGAGCTGGGCAGGCAGGGGGGCACTGAAATGTCCTCTTCCCTCACCTCGGTGCATCTCTGTTCCCCAGATCTGCAGGCACTTCCAGTGCGTGAGTGCCTCTGTCCTCAACTACGACTGTGATGTGGAGAAGCAGTGCCACGGGCACGGGGTAAGCAGGGCAGGAGGGGCAGCAAGTTTTTAAATGGTGATTAGTAACTTTTTGTTTTTCTGTCTTGTGTGAACTGTAACACTCTCTATAAAATGTCTCTAGGCCAGAGAGCCTGTAACAGTGTCAAAAAAATCTTCGACGAAACTCTTTGCCAGGCAAGAATTCCCAAATCCAGTATTACTAATGAAATTTGACTCTGCATCTCAAAAAAAAAAAAAAAAAAAAAGAGGCAAGCAAAAGCCATGGTGTGTAAGCTGTTGGGATAGCTAATCCTTGGAAGCTTTTCCTGAACAGTGCTGTGCGTGCTCAGTCATGTGAAACCTTGGGATGCCTGGCCAAGAGTTTGGAGCTGACATAGGAGAGTTACTGGGTGAAGTTCTCCTGGCTGAGCAGAACAGGACAGAACAGGCTGTGGCTGCTGCACAGCTGCTCCAAATGCATGGAAATGGAAGTTACTGAGTTGTGGTGTTTGTGTTTTGGAATACAGGTGTGCAACAACAACAGGAACTGCCACTGTGAAGCAGGCTGGGCCCCCCCTTTCTGTGACACCAAAGGCTACGGAGGGAGCGTGGACAGTGGCCCTCCCTACAATGGCAAGTGGTGTGAGGGCTCTGGGGTGGGCTGGGCATCCACACACGTGGGGAAGGTTTGGTGGATGGCTCTGCACTGGGTTTCACCTGTGAACAATCCTAGTGGAGGTTTTGGGCTGAAGGTGTTGCACTTCTCTCCCTTGCGATGCTGGGCTGGAATGTGTAAGGATCTGGGTTGGTTTAGTTCAGGTGATTTCTGCCACCTTGGGCTTCTCTGTATTGGAAGGGAAGCCCCAGTGAAGGGGACCACGATTCTTGCATGTGAGAAAGCAAACTGACAGAGCAGGGAAGCTTACTTTGCTCACAGAGGGTTTGAAGATGAATTAGGAAGCCAAAGCCAATCTATAATTTGGAGAAAACTTGTGCTGTGTCCACGTGGAGTATATAAAAATTGGATTGTTTTAATAGCTTCTGTGAGCTGCAAGAATGATCTTGAAGACTGTTTTTCATAAGATGATGTGGGTTAGGGGAAAGCTAGACACTGATACAATAAGAGAGTGGATAATCACAGTGAGCATGGGCGGATCCCTCAAATCATCAGGCAAAAAAGGGAAAGGCTGTTTTAGTACAGTCTGCAGGAGAGAAATTGCTGCATATAAAAAGGTAGAGATTGTTAAGAACCCGACATCTTTGCCTACAGCAAACAGTGGTTGGAGAAGAGGAAGATTTAGGATCACACCAAAGAGCAGAAGCTCTGTTTTCCTCTCTCATAACATCTTCACAGTAATGAAAAATGAGGATTGATCTCCTAATTCAATATGCTGCTGTAGCCCAGGGTGTCATGGCACGTATGGCTCTTTCATCTTTGACCAGACAATCCCTGTGAAAAGATAAACAGAAAAGAATCTCTTTGGGCATTTATCTTGCAGCCTTACCAGGTTCTTCTGTTTTTCTTCTGTTAAAAAATGGAAAATGGTTGTAGAACTAATTCACTGCTGCTGTGAGTCAGGTGCTGGTGGTGACACCACATCAGACTCATTTCTTCCCCCCGGTTTTGTGCCCTCAGACAAGGACACCTCTCTGAGGAATGGCCTGCTGGTGTTCTTCTTCCTGGTGCTCCCACTCCTGGTAGCTGCTGCTCTGGCCTTTGTAAGGAGGGACAGGCTGAAGAGATGCTTCAGGAGGTTGATGTCCCGCTGCCATTCGTGAGTGCCTTCTCCTTCCTTCCTTCTCCTCTGCCCTTTGAACACCCTGTGGATGTTGTTTATACAACCCAATGCCAAGGTGTGGAGGCATATCCCATTCCCAGGATGTCAGGCAAAGGCCCCTGCATCCAGTGACACGTGTAGCCTGCCCCTGGCAATGACAGAAAAGACAAATTCACCCTAAATCAAGAAAGCAAAGAATTTTCTCTTTACCATTACGTTTGTTGTCATGCACTGGAGGTGGGGGTCTATATTTTTGGATCCCATCTTGGTATAAAGTGGCAAAGGGAAGCTCTCAGTCCTAAACAGAAAAAGAGTTGTTGTTTACTAGATTTGTGGTAAATATTATCTTCCTGACATTCGATGTGTAATAAGACAATATAAATCCAGCTGCCAGGGTTCATGGCCTGCACAGTCACTGTTAAGTGCTCACACAGTCCCTATCCACGGATTTCAGGTCACTTCAGTCACCTCCTCCTCGGCCAGACACCGAACCCAGGGACTACCAGCACAGAGGCTTCTCCCACGGCACCCCTTACGCTCCAAGAGCTGTTCCCACGGTAGGAATCATCTCCTTTCCATTACTTGTTACTCTCAACTAACAGATGACAGTATTTTATATCATTTTTTCCCTAATAAAAGCCTCGAAGTTACTTCTCCATTTCTGGAAGTGGTGTTTTCTCTTTGCTGAGAAGCAGAGGGAATACTTATTTCCTAATCAGTGGTCTTGAGTGTCACTTAACCAATGACGCAAATATTTCGACTCCCTGCGTGCCATTTGTGAACGTTCCTGTTGTGTTTTCTTCGCAGGATATGGATCCAAACACCTTTCCTGTCCCAGCTTACCCAGTTAACCAGCACCCTCAGCAGGCTTTCCACCAGCCCTACTACCCCCCTCCGCAGTACCCGGTGCAGCAGCCGCCGAGGCTGCCCAGCAGGTCAGTGGAGTTACTGCAAATTCCTGCTGGCACTGAAGGGGTTTATCCCCCTGACCTCCATCCCCAGGAGCACTGGGGTGTTCCATCACGTGGGGTGTGCAGGCAGGGCTGACTTCTCCCTGGGAGAAGTTTCTCCTTCCCTTCACCCCGAGCTGCTGGGCCATCACCCACTGCCTTCATCCTGCCTGGTGATGAGGGGGCTCAGCCCTGCTGGGGGGCACCTTTGCCCTGCTGGCAGGTGAATGAAAGGCCTCTCAAAACAGGCAGTTTAAAAAGAAATTACTCCAAAATCTGTCACTTTGCTGATTCGTGAATGTTATGGCCAAGTGCAGGATCATTTCTCATCGCTTTGAACAGGAAGTTTTCCTCTATTTTTCATCTTCCTTCCTCACTGTGCTCGTGAGCTGTAATGCTGTGCCATGACACACATGGGCCTGGGAAGTGTTGGGTACTGAGTGGGAGCTCCTTAATATAGCTTGCGTTGGTGGGGCACTTGAGGGGGGGTGTCTTTAAATGATTTGGGGAGAAAAGGTGACTTTTAGCAAACTGGGGGTCCCTGAGGGTGTCAGGCAGCGGAAGGCAGAGCCTGAGCCCGTGGTGTGTTCCAAGGGAGTCCTGGCACGGAGGCCAGGACTGGGAGCAGTGGTGTGGTGGCCGGGGGCTCTCCTGCTGGGTGGGTGAGGGCTGTGGGTGGTGGGTGCAGCCCCCGACTGATGGCAGCTCCTCTGTCCTCTTGCAGGCCCCCACCCCCGCAGCAGAAGGTCGTACCTCAGGGGCCGCCACAGCAGAAATGTTTACCTCAGGGACAGTATTACCCTTCTCGACCGGCACCTTTGCCTCCCAAATAACTCCTGGCTCCCTTGGGGCCTCCCGTGGGCTGACCCGTTGGCTGCGGCAGAGCCGGAATCGCGGCCCCCCCTCTGGCATCGCTGCCGGGGCAGGGCCAGCCAGAGATCCACACCAGGAATGTAGGACTCTACACTCATAAATACCTCGACCAAAGCTCCAGGGACTGACCCCCCGGCCTGTTCCTCGCTCTGCAGCCGGGCTGGCAGCGGGAGCGCGGCCGCCTGTAGGGAAATAGTCCCGAAATCCGGCACGGGGGCGTCGCTTTGGGTTCCCCCGTCCCTGCCCTGAGCCCTGGTAAGGAAATTGTCTGGTTCATTGTCATCTCTCTGACTGTGCAGTGAGGAATTGGAGTAACCCACCTGCAAAGCAGGGAGAGCTGGTCAGTTAATTTACAGTTACTCTGCATGGACTAGAAAGTGTTTCCTGGGTACACCTTGATGGCACAGGTGGAATGAGGTCTCAGTGGACTTTTTCAGAGGAAGAGAGATATATTTTAAACATGTCTGTGCATGTATATATGTTTATAGATGCGTAACGATGCACTTAAATTCTTAATTCCATGCTGACTGACACTAAGCTGTGCTATAGGAGCACTGAGTTTAATGCTTTTTAATTAGAGATTGGCTAAATGAGACTCCTGTACTAATTCCCACTAATACATGGATGGGCAGTGAAGATAAAGGTACGAGAAGACACGGCCATATTCTGGTTTTAAAGAATGGGGTGCTGATAGGTTTTAATTCAGGTCTAAAGACAGAGCAGCAGTTCCTGCAGGACACTAGGAAGCAGGAAGAGTCTCTGCCTGGACCACTGGAGCTTCTCTGTGCACTTCAAATGGAAACCTGGTGACTGATGCACCCCCTCTTTTAATCCCCAAACCTTTGTAGTGTCAGTCAGGATGCTTTCAGGCCACCTTGTGTCAGACTAGACTGCGAGTTTGGAACTCCTCCTGAGCAGAGTTGCTCAGCATCCAGTGTGCTAGGAGAGGAGAAGGAGCTGTGCATCCTGATCCTATGGAGCCGTGGGTAGAAGCTGGATGTCATGGTCACAAATAGGAATCTATTGCACAACTTGCTAAAAGTGCTGAAGAGAATGCTGGGCTGTCTCACTCTGTGCTCGCCACAAGCACAGCTCAATCTGTAAAATCCCCCCAATATTGCCAAAAAAAATCATGTTTTCCTCTGTATATACCTATATAAATATATATATATAGTGTGTGCAGTAATAAAATACTTGAACTCCTGTGGTTTCCCATAAACTTAGACTAAGATTTATAACACTATTAAAATCTGTAAAATGTCACCTAGAATTTCACCAACTGTGCTGGTGGGGGTCTCCTGTTTGTTCTAAGATAATCAATCTCTTCGTAATGTTGCTGTGTCCTGCTCCCCCGTGGCCGTCTGTCTGTCTGTCTGTCTGTCACAACGAGCTCTGCAGCTGGATGTGGCCCATCTCCAGCCCCAGTCGGAGGGTGGGACGGAGGAGGGGATCCAGGGAATGAAGTCATCCAGAGGGATGTACTTCGCTGTGTGTGACGCTGTGTGTCTGAACTAAACTATGCTGAAAATGGTGCCTTTCCCAGACAAAGGGTTTTTGTACTCCCGGCGTGCACGCTGGGACGGCCGCAGCCGGGGAGGGCAGGGCCGTGCGGGGTTAGAGGCGATCCCGTGGGCAGGAAGTGGCTCCAGTTTTTTGTGTAGAATACTGAAGATGACTACTGACTTCCTTTTGTAAAGGGCACGGACACCTGTCCCCAGGCGGGGCTGGAGCTGGCGGGGCTGTGGTCGACACCCGTGTTCACCTCCACAGCTCCGGCCAAAGGGCTGCTCCCAACCCCTTTGTACGGACCCAACGAGCAATAAAGATGCCAGTTTTGTACAAGGCTCTGCCTCAGCCTCTGCTTTAGGGGAGGGAGGGGCCGTTACCAGTGGGGCCGTTACCTGTGGGCAGTTGCTGTGGGGCTGTTACCAGTGGGGCTGTTACTGGCCCGCAATGGGGCCACTTTGTGCGATGCCACCACTGCTGCTCTTGCTGCTCCTGGAGCTGCTGCATGAGGCCGGGCAGGGCCCCCCCGTGCCCTCCACCCCCCGGCTCTGGGCTCAGCCGTGGGGGTCTCTGTCCCCTCTGGGCTGGCAGGTTCCATCCCAGATCACGATCCCACAGCGGCTGCCGGCAAACGGGACCGGAGTGACGCGGCTGCAGCAGGCACGGTGCTGGGGAGGGAGAGGGGGGAGATGGGGGGGAAGGTGGGGGAGTGAGGTCTTCAACTGCAGAGGAGAGCCAGGGGGGAGCAGATGTGCTGGCAGCTGTAATGGTGTCACCACAGCAGAGCTGCCAGCACATCACCCACTCTGTGCTCATCCCTGGTGTTCGCAGGGGGCCTCGGATGGTGCTGGTCCAACTCCCTGTTCCTAATTCTCCCGTTCTCTACTTTTCTGCACGCACAAGGACACAGTGTCCTACGTCCTGAGGATCGAGGGGAGGCCCTACACCATCCACCTGCAGCAGCAGTGAGTTGGCCCTGATGCTGCCCCTGCTGACAGTCATTCCCCATTCCCCGGTGGCTGCAGGACCTGCGAGAAGCTCGAGAAGCTCAGGGTGATGGATGTAAGTGCTTCACTTTGCATCTTTCTCTTGTAGTGCCTTTTTATCTGACGATTTCCAGATTTATGTGTCGGACGAGGAGGGCTCTTTGCCCCCTGATTCAGCCCAGATGGAGGTAACCTGCCTTGCTTTGGGGTGTTTGTGCCCTAAGTGTCGTGGCACAGATCTCTGCCCGGAGCAGCCAGTCCAGCTGTCTGGGTGAGAATCACCTTCCCAGGCACAGAAGGGGCTCCCTGTCCTCTGTCATGCTGTAGGGAGGCTGCCACTACTGGGGGTACATCGATGGCTTCCCCAGCTCAGCAGTGACCCTCAGCACCTGCTCGGGGCTCAGGTAATGTACCACAACGTCCCTGTGCTGCCCTGCCCCTGGGTGCTGCCAGGCTTTGCTGTGGGGAGCCCAGGGATGGCCTGGAGGCAGTGCCAGGAGTAAATGGCCAGTGCCACTGCCTTGGCAGGGGTTTGCTGCAGTTTGAGAACGTCAGCTACGGGATCGAGCCCCTGGACGATTCCCCCGCGTTTGAGCACCTCGTGTACCGAGTGAGCGAGGAGGACACGGCAGGTTCCTTCCTGCCCCACAGCCCCCCTGGGAGAGAGCTGGGCGGGCTGGTGGCAGAGGAGACCTGGGCCAAGGCCCACGGGGGTGACGAGGTGAGCGGTGCCCACTGTTGTCCTGTCCCTGAGGAGCAGCCTGATCCCACAGGAAGCTTTGGCCGGACACTTGGCCACAAGCTTTGAAGGGAGGCTTGAGCAGCACAGCAAAGGGCAGTGGTGAGGGGCCAGAGAACACAGGGATCTGTCCACTGGAGTACATCAGAGCCCATTTTCTCTTCCAGCTCCTCTGGGCCGCAGCACAATCTCCCAAATACCTCACAGTGTACGTGGTTTTGGACAGCGCTTTGGTGAGTCTGTGCCAGACACTCTCCTTGCCTCTGCCTGACTTCTGTGAGCAGGGAAATGGTGCCATCTCCCAGCTTGTACAGGGATTTGTTTTCCCTTTAAAAAAATTACATGTCCTGTGGATTTTGAAGGAAAGGAGGAGTGCAAATTTGTAGCTCACATCTCCGTGGCTGGGTGCTGGGAATTATCTGTGTTCCAATATTGTTCTGTACTTACATCCTCTTGGGTTGTTTTTCAGTACAACTATATGGGGTCAGACCTGAATGCTGTCACACAGAAGATAATCCAGGCTTTCAATTTAGTCAACAATGTGAGTTTTAAAGTCTGATTTGTACTGGGGGTGATGTTGGTAGTCATCACCTCTCTCCTAGCTGCTTTTGGGTTTAGGAGGAGTTTATGTAAAAAATTCCAGCTTTCCCAAGAAGGTTTTTCCTCTGGGTGTCAGTCTGCTGCAAAAGAACATCCTTCCCCATGCAGTGGCCATGTCTCCTGCAGATGGACAGAACACAGGCACTTTGCCTCAGGGCAGCCAAAACCCAGCATTGCTCCCCTCTCCACCCTGCAGATCCCTGTTCTCACTGATCCAATTAACCTGCTTCCTCTCAGGTGCTTATAAGCAACTTCCAGTCCTTTTCTTCACTCCACTGGTGCCATTATGGTTCATGTAAATCCCTAAGGCCTTCCTATGAAGTTATTGGACTTTGACTCAGGCCTCTCGCTATATTTCTCCATTTTTTAGGTGGGTTCATTCTTTTTGGCTACAGATGTCATCGAGGGACTGAGAGCAGCAATTGGCTTTTCCCATGTCTCTGTGTGCAGAGCTCAAAAGGGAAGGTGTGTGAGAAGGTGTTTCCTTTCTGCTTTCAGATGTTTAGTCCCCTTAACGTCACCATTGTGCTGTCCTCCCTGGAGCTGTGGGCAGAGGGAGATAAAATACCGACAGCAGGGGACACAGATGACCTTCTGCAGCGATTTTTACAGTGGAAACAGTTGACTCTGGCACTGCAGGCACATGATATCGCTTTTCTCTTAGGGTAAGATAAGGGTTCCTTAGCACTAGAGGTTACGTAGTAGAGATCACTCAGACCAGTGTAGGTTGAACTATGAAGAGTCCCATGACAAATGGTTTTTTGAAAAGCTGTATTTCTTACACAATTCCTGATTTCATAATATTCTGGAAGCGTTTCTTCCAAGGCATTCCTTCTAACCAGCCCTTCTGTGGCAGTGCAGCAGCCACGGTGGTGCCATCCCATCCCATCCCACCTGCCCTGGCTGAGGGGAGGCTCCACAGGCTCTGGCACTGAACACTGGCACACAGAGCCCATCCCAGCTCCCCCAGGGACAGCAGAGCCATCAGGGCCACTGGAGGGGACTGTGGCTGTACAGACCCACTGACCCATGGCCACGGGGTGTCCCGGGCTGGGTGACCAGTGCACTCCCCTCTGTTCCAGGTACAGGGACCAAGGAGCACCCGCGGGCACAGCGGCTCTGGGAAAGGCTTGTCAGAGAGATGCTGCTGCTGCAGTGGCCCTGGTACAGTCCCACCTGCCCCTGCCCGTCCCCAGCCAGCCCACGTGGCCGAGAACCCAGAGCTCGCCCACGGGCAGCAGGGACGGGGCTGGGTGGGAGCATCCACATCCAGGGCAGGGGTCTCTGCAGGGAATGCTCAGCTGTGGCATCCTGGCTCTCTCCTCCCTCCAGTACCACGGGAAGGCGACGCTGGAGTCCTTCTCTGTCCTGCTGGCACAGGTGCTGGGCCGCAGCCTGGGCGTGAGCTCGGACAGCCCCCGAGCCTGCGGCTGCGCCGGGCGCGGCTGCATCATGAGCCCCGCGGCGCTGTGAGTGGGCCGGGGGTGGTCACGGGGTGTCCCCTCCTCAGGGGTGTCCCCAGCAAATGTCATTCCATGGCAAAAGTTACAACCAAGTAGAATCATGGAGCCCAACCTGTGACCGATCACCACCTTTTCACTAGACCAGAGCACTTTGTGCCACGTCCAGTCATTCCTTGGACACCTCCTGGGGTGGTGGCTCCATCGCCTCCCTGGGCAGCCCCTTCCAATGCCTGAACACCCTTTCAGTGAACAAATACCTGCTTTTATTCCTTTGAGAAGGAAAAAAAGGAATAATTAAATAGCAATTCAGTGCTTAATTTGACAAAAGAGACCTTTGCTCTCCAAAACGAGGGTACTTATGGTTCTCAGTCTCAGTTAATGAGCTTTAGAGCAGGTGAACTGACAGACCCCCAGGGCCATCGTGCCCCGTGTCTGGGGGAGCCCTTGACTTGCACAGAGGTTTGGAGAGAGCGAGAGGTGGTGAATGCATAACACATAAACTGAAAATTGCTTTATTTTAAACTGAAAATTGCTTTATTTTAGACATTTCGGTGGGGCAAAAGCCTTTAGCAACTGCAGCGTCAGGGACTTTGAGACCTTCCTGAAGCAGGGCAGAGGCGTGTGCCTCTTCAACAGACCCCGCCTGAGGCCCCTGTCCCCCCGGAGCGGGGCCTTCTGTGGCAATGGTGTGGTGGAGCCGGGCGAGCAGTGCGACTGCGGGGCACCTCAGGTGGGTGCCACGGGAACCGCGGCTAAATCCCTGCATTTGGGATGTGGGAATAACGAACCCTTGAGACTGAGGGCCCCACTGCAGCAGGGGGCAGCCCAGAAGGGTTGTGTTGGGTTTGAGATGGCACCAGTCTGGTGGCAGCTTTGCCCGTTTGTTCTGCTCGATGTTGCCCAAGTGTAGCCTTCTGGGGAGAAGGAGGAAGAGTGGGACTCGGGGGTACAGAAAAGTGGAATAATGTGGGTTTGCCATGTTTCCCCAGCAATGCCTGCATGACAAGTGCTGCACTTGGAGATGTCGGCTTATGCCGAAAGCGAGATGTGCCTCTGGATCATGTTGTAAAAATTGTCAGGTGAGGCACACTTTTGTAATTATCACAAAATCATTATTTATCTTTGGAGAAACAGTATGTCCCCATGCTGAGGGATGGAGCCAAACTTCCTGCTGTGCAATGGGAGAGGCTCCCAGGGTCGGGCTTCCTGGGAACCCTCGGGGGGATCGTCCTGGGCAGTGTCACACACGTGTGGTGACCCTCGGGGGCATCGTCCTGGGCAGTGTCACACACATGTGGTGACCCTCGGGGGCATCGTCCTGGGCAGTGTCACACACGTGTGGTGACCCTCGGGGGCATCGTCCTGGGCAGTGTCACACACGTGTGGTGACCCTCGGGGGCATCGTCCTGGGCAGTGTCACACGTGTGGTGACCCGAGTGCCCGGCGGGGATCCCGACCCGGCAGCAGGAGGGGCTGTGTGGGCTCAGCCTGGCAGGTGAGGGTGGAGAGCTCTTCCTGCTCTCCAGTTCAGGAAGAAGAACTCGCTGTGCCGCCCCACCTCGGACTCCCAGTGTGACCTGCCCGAGTTCTGCAGCGGCTCCTCGGGGTCGTGCCCGCCCGACGTGTACGTGCAGGACGGGCACAGCTGCGCGCGCGGCACCGGCTACTGCTACCAGGGACGCTGCCAGTCCTTGGACCTGCAGTGCCAGCGGCTCTACGGGAAAGGTAACGGGCTCTTCTGGTGGCACTGGTGGCACTGGCACTGGCTGGGGGCGGGATGATGATGTTCAGTGCTCTCCAGTGCACTGGGTAAGGGTGAGGCACCAGGAGGGAAGGGCACAGCCTTAGGAAAGTGTTTCAAGCTCGGGTTTGGCTCTGGTTAATGAAGTCCCCCAGCGCTTCAGAGGTAACAATGGAAATGACAAAAAGCAAATTGTTATCTGTGGGTGAACTCTATCAGAGGACTGCCCCATTTGCTACTCCCTTGCTGATTTCTGGGGTTCAGGGGGTTTGCCAGGGCAGGGACAGGAGTGTTTTCTCTAATTAAAGGAGGAAAAATGAAGTTATTACAGTATGTCCCTTTGTGTTCCTTTGAACTATAACAAATATTACTGCTAAACTTGTAGATTCAAAGAGTGCTCCTGTGGCCTGTTATGAGGAGATCAACAGCCAGCGGGACAGGTTTGGGCACTGTGGGTTCAAGACAGGACGTGGGTACCAAGGCTGTTCTTGGAGGTACGCTGGGGAGGGGGCACTGGCACTGCCTCTGTCAAAATGCATATTTAATTGGGACTGGGCAGCCAAGGAGAGTGTCAAAACTCCAGTTCATAATGAGATTTGTGAAGCAATAAATACTTCTCTGTGTGTTCTCCTTGTTTTGGCATCTCTCCTTATGTCACAGATCCTCTCTCGGACTTCCCGGTCCTGCTGATGTTTTCCCACCTTGCTCCAGACTGTTTAATGTTCATCAGGCAGTGTGTGTGTGTGTGTGTGTGTGTGTGTGTGTGTGTCACACACATCCTGTGCAAATTGGCTTTCCAGGAATCTCAGGTGTGGGAAGTTGGTCTGCACGTACCCATCCAGCAACCCCTTCCGATCAACTGCTGCCGCCGTGATCTATGCCCGAGTGAGGAAGCATTTGTGTGTCTCTATGAACTATCTGAATGCATCAGCATTGCTGGATCCACTTCTGGTCCCACCAGGGACAAAATGTGGCTCTGAAAGGGTGAGGAAGCGCCTTGTAATCATCTGAAATGACAGATGTAAACTGTAAATATTAAGAAGGTTTTAGAAACGCTTGCTCCTTGCAGCAGTGTGCTAGATATTTAAAAACACTATAAAACCCTGCAAATGCTGCATAAAGGTTTGGTGGTGTGTGAGCACAAGGCATGACCCAGCCCCAGGGCAGAACTGTAGCTTTTTTTGTTGGTTTTTTTTTTAGAAATAGTGTGTTTTCCTCCCTCTTTGGGCCAAAGTCTGGCATGCTGAGCGCTGTGTGGGTGAGGCAGTGCTGGGCTGGAGCTGCTGTGGTTTTTTCCCAGGTGTGTATAAACAACACGTGTCACCCACGCTCGGTGCTGGGGTTCAGGTGTGACAGCCAGGTGATGTGCCACGGCCACGGCGTGAGTCCCCCGGGGCTGGGGGGGCTGCAGGGGGGCTGCAGGGGGGCAGGTTCTGTGAGCTCATTGCAAACCTCTACCCCCACCCCTGGCTGTTCCAGGTGTGCAACAACAAGGGCAATTGCCACTGCTACCCGGGCTGGAGGCCCCCCAGCTGCCAGAGGAGGGGCTCTGGGGGGAGCGTGGACAGCGGCTTCCAGCTGATGGAGGGAGGTGGGTACAGGCAGCTGAGGGGGGATGGCACGGGCAGGGGTGGCAGTGCCCCGTGCCAACTGGGCTGTCTCCTGCCAGGCCTGCCCCTGCAGCGAGCGCTGGAGCATGGGCAGCTGGCCTGGCTGGTGCTGGGCTCCAGCCTCGTCCTGCTCATCCTTGCCTCGGCCATCGTCCTCGTCCTCATCCTGTGGCAGCAGGAGGTGCTGGGCTGGTGCCATGGGCAGCAACCGCAGGGCACAGAGGGGTGAGTGGGGCCCTGCCTGGGGCTGGATCCTCAGGGAGGGCAGGGGAGAAGGTGAGGTGATTCCCCAGGGATGTACGGGGTGATTCTCAGGTGAGGCACGAGCATATTCCCCAGGGCTGAGGTCATCTCTGGACTGAGGTGGCCCTGAGAGACTGAGGCCACCCTGAGTCAAGTCAGGGCTGAGGCACCTCTCCAGGTCTCCCCACAGCACCAGCCAGGACATGGACAGGGAGCTGGAGCCAGACCCGGAGCTGAACCTGGAACCAGATGCAGAGCTGGACCCGGAGCTGCAGACAGACCTGGAGCTGGACCCAGAGCTGAAGGCAGACCTGGAGCTGGACCCAGAGCTGAAGGCAGACGTGGGCCCAGCACTGGAGCTGGAGCAGCACCACGGGCACTGATTAAAGGCATTGGGCAGAGCCAGTGCTGTGGCCGGTGCCCCATGGTTTTATGCTTACATAGTTTGTGCCTTTTGTCAGAGGAACAGGAAGAGTGCAGAGTGGATGTGGGGTTGAGCCTCGTTAGGTCCCTTTCAGCCCCATTTCATCCATCTCCAGCCAGATGGAAGCAGGAGCCTCTCGGCACCGATCAGCCCCGGGCAAGGAGGTTGGCTCCTGCATGTCACCATTAGACCAGCAGCCCATGGCACACTAGTTTGGCATTGCCAGGATCCTGGAGAACCCCACCTGCAGGGACAGTGTCCCTGAGCTGCCACCCCAGGCCCCCTCGATGCAGCATCCCATGGGAGCCTGGCAGCCCCTTGGGGTGGTCCAGGGGGGAAGCCAATGACAGCCCTTACCCAGGGCAAGGGAGGTCCCCCAAGCCTTCTCCATGGGAACAGAGATCAGTGTTTGCTCCATGACAAAGCCTTATCTGCAACCTTTACCCGTGTTTGCTCAGACCCTCCAGCCATTGGGTGGCCGGGCCTGGCTCCCCCCAAGACAAGGTACATTCCTGCTGCAGGACAGGCGGCGCTGGCTCAGCACATCCTGCCAGGGCAGCCAGGCCACAGCACACCCCGAGCCCACGGCCAGCGCCCGGCGATGGAGGCTGATGATGGCACGGAGGAGCCCTCGCTGCCCCTGGCACTGACCAGGTTCCAGGTCTCCGAGGAGTTCGGTTTCCTGCTTCCCGATCCGCTGGTAGGAGCTGGCTGTGCCCCCCATCTGCATGCTGCAGAGAGGAAAAGAGAGGGATTGTGAGCAGCTTTCTGGAGGAGGGGGGTTGATTCGGCTTACAAAGAGCAGTGAGGAAGGCAGGGGCTGTTTTGGCACAGGCAGTTTCATAGGACAAACCCCTCACTTTGAAATGATGAAGTGGCTGCAGCAAGTGGCAGGGGGGAGAGGAGAATGAGCTTTGCCACTTACACTCTGGCCTTGGCTCTGTGGGATTTTGGGGAGCACAAGAAGAGCAGTCACTCTGCAGGTCTCCCATGTCCAAAGCAGGGCTGTTGATCACTGGGCTGGCTCCACAGTGGGAGTGCAGGGGCACAGACAGATCGTGTTCATCATCTGTTAATTTGTGACCACGCAGGCTCCTGTTACAGGAGAGGGAACCAGACACAAGCCATCAGCCCTGATGTGCGAGGCTGGGTGGGTGCTGGGAGCCTGGGCACATTCACAGCCCCCCCTCTGCCTCTCTCCACCAAGACAGAACTGCCAGAGCCCTACAGCCCCTGGATGGAGGTCGCCCACCAGCTGCCCCAGCTGATCGCCAGCCACCGGCTCCGCTCCCGCGTTCACCAGGTACCGTGTTCTCCTCCCTGCCTCTGGAGCTCTCTCAAACCTCGGTCTGACACAGCAGCATCTGCAAAACGTGTGGGAAAGCAACTCAGCAGCACGGCCGTGTCCTGAGCCAGGGCTGACACCAGGCGACAGCAAAGCCTTCACATCGGCACAGAAACAACAGAGCCGGGAGGCAGCAGCCAGTGAGGGCTGGAGCAGGGCGAGCAGGGGCCCTCTAGATGTCACAAGAGCTGTGTCTCATCCCAGCCATGCTCCCCACCAAGGACCCCTCTGGCACACAGGGATCAGCTGCTCCCACAGGCATCCCAGCACCAGGAAGAGGGGCACCTTTTTGAGGAAAATCCTACGGATTACTGTCCCTGCTCACAAACCAGCAGAAGTGGAACAGGAACAAATCCTGCAGGGTGGGTGGGAAGGGAGGCTTGAAGGCAGAGAGAGGCACTTAGGAGGGTTCACCCCGGCTGGCAGGACAGACCCCACCGCGGGGGCCCCTGGCACTGCCGGCTTTGCCCTTTGCTCCCAAGGATTTCCCTGGCAGATGCCGCAGCTGAGCGCCCGGCACCTCCGAGGACGCGAGGAGCTGCACTTGGCACACCTGGTGCTCAGCTTCATCACCATGGGCTACGTCTGGCAGGAGGGCGAGGAGGGCACCGTGCAGGTAACGGCAACGCAGAGCAGGTTCACCTGCTCCTTGGGGTCCGGGGGCTGACACTGCTGCCATGGAACTCATCCCACGGGAGCAAAACCCCTTTCCTGCAGCTGCAGCAGGAGCGTGACCCCTCCTGCCTGGCTGGTGCCCACACACGGGCACCGTTCAGCAGCCTGGCAGCGTCCCCATCTTCCCCCGTGCTTTGTGCCGTCCAGGTCCTGCCCCGAAACCTCGCCGTCCCCTACTGGGAGGTCTCCGAGGCCCTGGGCCTCCCGCCCATCCTCAGCCACGCAGACTTTGTGTTGGCCAACTGGAGGAGGAAGGACCCCAATGGGTAAACGGGCAAACGCCGGCGGACGAAGCGCGGCTCCTCCCGCGCTCGGGCAGCACCAACGAGCAGGTGCTGGGGACAGACGGTTCCCAAACTGCTCCTGTTCTGCCAAACCCCCTTGAACCCCCCACCATCGCTGGGGTTGGCCTCACGGGCGGACACAGGAACCCTGTGGGGACGTGGGTGCCTGTGGGAGCAGCCCCTGGGGACAACTCCTCCATTCCCTGCAGAGCACAGCCCGTCACCAGAACAATTTATAATGCTCCTCTCTCTCTCTCTCTCTCTCTCCTGCATTTTCTTGTGCATTTGTTGGCCACAACTGAAACGCCTTCAGGCCTCTGGAAATCGAGTAAGTAGTTAAGATGCTCATTTATTTTCTAATGGTGTTGGTTTTGTTTGGATGGGCTCAGCTCTCCAGCACTGCGGGGTTCTGCTTAGGCTGAGCCTCTCTTGATGTGCACACACAGCAACACCAGGGTTTGTCTCACAAATGCCACTGAGATGACAGTGAAGTGACTGCAGCGGAGCGTGGGCTGCTCTGTCTGTGCAGGTCCAGCACCCATGGGCCATGGGAGGGGCATGGGGAGAGTGGTGGGTGCCTCCAAACCAGGCCTGCTCCCCCTTTTGCTCTGTGCCAGCTCCTCTCTGCCTGGGGTGCAGATAAGAGGCTCTGCAGCCTGGGAGCGTTTTGTTCCAAGAGCTCAGCAGGTCCCGTGGTGTGCAGGGAAATCCTGAGCCACAACCCCACCAATCCCTCTCCTTGGCTGCTCCGTGCAGGAACCTGGACCCCATCATCACCCTGCCCGGGGGAGAGAGCCTGCGGGGCTTCGTCCTCGTCACCCTCCTGGTTGAGAAGGCGGCTGTGCCTGGCATCACGGTGGGTACCACCCTGTCCCGGGGCTTTTTGCTCACCTGGAAAGTGCCCACAGGCGCACCCACGAGGTGACCCTGTCCCATGCACGTGGACTGGGAAGGAGCAGAGCTGGCATGGGTGGCAGTGAGTGTCCAGAGCCACTGTACCCAGGCATCCCACTCCCCCATCACTTGGTGTTCTCCCTTCTCTCACAGGCAATCGTCAGGGCCCTTCATGCCATCCTGCAGCACGATGAGGAGACCCTGCAGAGAGCCCTGGAGGAGCTGGCAGGGGCCATCGAGGCCATGAGGGAGGCGCTGAGGCGGATGCACGGTGAGAGCAGCCCCAGCCAGGCTGTGTCTGCACAACCCTGCACACACCACAGCTCATCACACGTGTTGGTGTGACTGCCAGCCAGCTCTGACCTCACTGATTCCCTCCTAGACCACGTGGATCCCGCAGTGTTCTACGCTGTGATCCGCATCTTTCTCTCTGGGTAAGTGCAGCGGGTTCCCCTTCAGACCCACCATGCTGGCAGCTCCCAGGGCCGGGGGGAACTGGGAATGTGCTGGGAAGGGGCAGCCCAGGTGGGACAGGGGGTCCCCCAGGGCGAGGTGGGGGGACCAGCCCTGTGTCTGGCGGTGATACTCCTCAGGGTGTCATGATCCTGCCCCTTGGGAGTTCCCAGGCACTGGATCTGCTGGGCACAGACCAGGGCTGAGGGCTGGGTCTGCCCCCCTCCACCCACTCTCCATCCCCCACTTCAGCTCAGCCCCAAGAAGGTCTCTGTGCCCTAAAAGCCAGAATTGTGCACAAATGAATCATTCCTGCTCTTGGCCGAGCAGTTTTGACAGCAGAAGAGGAATTTCTCTTCACTTCCACGCTGTGCACACAAGGCTGCGAAGCCGAGCGGAGGCTCTTCCCACTGCACGTTAAGGAAACATCCCTAACAAGCCTCTTGCTGCTGCTCTGTTACAATTCTGTCAATTGGAAAAAAGAAAATCTCCCCCAGATACTGAAAAAGCCATTTGGGCAAGGCAGAATCACAGCCCTGAGAGCCCAGCGTGGCGTGTTCACCATCCCTCAGCATCCCCGCGGGGCTGCAGCTTCCACCGCCGCTCGCTCCCGGGCTGCTCAGGGGGTTCTATTTTTATTTCTCTCCAGCATGTCTCAGCATTCCCAAGTCAAAAGGCTCCGTGCATCCTGATTAGGTTTCTCTTATTTTTTTTTATGCAAGCTGACCTTGTCTTGATGGTCATCAGCCTGGAAAAACATGCCTTTAAAATTCCCTTCTGCTTATAAGAACTTCCCACTAGTAGAAGTTACTATAAATACAACCCTGGGAGAACTAAAAATATTCTGGTATTTGATAATGAATCTATTTTCTGTGCAGTTTGTGCAAATTGTGTCCCCACAGCCCAACAGCCCGAGCAGCCTCCCAGGACGGTGCATTCTGCAGGAGGTCAACAGATATTTTTGCGCCAGGCACTTTGTTTCCCTGAAATCGTAACTCTTCTCTTTGTTTGGGAGCGAGCACTTCTCCATTTCTGCACAGTGGGGGCTGACAGGCTCGGAGTTCAGGGTGTGTGGGGGGAGCTCCTGGCTCCCAGCCCGCCCAGGACCAGCAGCTTCAGAGGGAGGAAATCCCATCCCAGCCTTGTTATCTGTGGAGATAAATAGAGGCAGGCTGACCCAGTCTCTACTTATCCTTTAAATGCTTTTAGAGACGTAACCTTGAGTAACAGGAACAAAGGAAAATCCAAAGTACAAACTTCAGGGACTCAGAGTAGCATTTGGGTGACTCTACCTGCTGCTTATCTGAATGGCCACTGGCATTCAAGGAATTGTTGTTGTGCCACTACTGCCCAGACAAGTGCCCCCTCCCTCCCCAAGGCAGCTCTGCTCACACAAACCTTCCTGAACTGGAGCAGAAGGTGCAGCCAGGCAGGGCAGGGTGTCCCAGCACCACGCCACAGGGTGCTCACCAGGGCACGGTGACCCCAGAGAACGATCCCTAGCTCCTGGCAGAGGAAAATTAGGGATTCCTCCCTCCCTACAGCCACGGCCTCGTGGTGCACCTTGGCACAGCATTTGATTTCCGAGTTTATCTCCCATGTGAGGAGGGCTGGCACCGCTGAGTGAGGAGGGGCCGGGCCAGGAAGGTTTTGTTCCATCTTGCCAGCCCAGAGTCCCCTCTCACAGGCCCTGTCCCCAGCTGCCCCACGGGCACTGCCTGACCGCCGTGTCTCCCGCCCAGCTGGAAGGACAATCCCGCCATGCCGGCCGGGCTGGTCTATGAGGGGGTGTCCGAGGAGCCCCTGGCGTTCTCGGGGGGCAGCGCGGCTCAGAGCACGGTCCTGCACGCCTTCGATGAGCTGCTGGGGATCCGCCACAGCCAGGACACCGGTGAGCCACACACCTTTCCTCTTCCCAGGCAAATAAGGGCAGGGGGAGAGACGAGCCAGAGCGATTCCCACGGCTGTGCCAGCTCTGCCAGCCAGCAGCACACGTACCCATCTCTGGGCTCTGCCCAGTTCCTTAGGTTATAAACGAGGCTCTGGTGGGTGCTTCCTCACTGTGATAAATTCCCATAGGGACACACTTTGCTTTTTGCCTGTCAACCTTTTACTGAGTTTCTCTATGGGCCCAGAGATGAGGGAGCAGAGCGTGCCTGCATCCTGCCAGTGATTTACCCCATGCATTCAGAGAGTTCCGTGTTGGTCCAGCCCACAACAGAAATATTTACCAGAAATTGGCAAAACCACTCTACTAGCAAAAAAACCCCCAAAATAAACCAAACCAAAGGGCTGAGAGCAGGGCTAAAACCTGTCTTTTAGAGTTAAGACCAACCCTAATGGAGCACTGACCTAATATGGGTTTTCTTTCTCACTGAATTGGAGGCAGAGCAGAGGAAGCTGTGCAGGCTCTCAGCACCACCACCACCGTGGTCAAACTGTGCCAGCAGCAGAGCTCCGGGCTGGCTTCTCTCTGGGACCTTTAATCCACATACCTACAACTTATTCCACCCTTTGCTGGTGTCTTGCAGCTGCCTTCCTGCACAGGATGAGGAACTACATGCCCCCGCCCCACAGAGCCTTCGTGGAGGAGATCCAGCGTGGCCCGTCCCTGAAGCAGCACGTGCTCTCCTGCAGGGACAGGCGGCTCCGCGGGGCCTTCAACCGCTGCGTGGCAGCGCTGGCAGAATTCAGGTCCTACCACATCACCGTGGTCACCAAGTACGTGGCCGTGGCGGCGGCCAAAGCCAGGGCCGGGCGGGCAGAGCCGGGCGCCAGGGCTGGCCCTGCCCTGGGGAAGGCCCCGTCTGCGCTGGAGGCCAAAGGCACCGGCGGGTCCCACATCTTCAGCTTCCTCAAGAGCATCAGGGACACCACCAGGGAGGGGATGATAAGTGCCTGACGTGCCCCGAGGGCCGGCAGGGCACTGCCCATGGTGGGTGCAGGAGGCCGGGCGGCTCCGCTGTCTGTCTGCAGCACAGGAGCCAAGGTCCAAAACCTCCCCTCGGCAGCATCACTCCCACCTGTGCGTGTCTGGGACACGAGGAACGTGCTCGGGGCTGCCAAGGGAGGACAGTGCTGCTGCTTCCCCCCCCAGAAGGCACACGGTGAGCTCAGCATCCCCCCACGGCCTGGAGACAGGCACAGTGTCCTCCCGTGGCACTGGCATCAGCACATCGTCCCAAGGCACCAGGATGGGTGCAGCGTCCTCCCGCGGCACCGGGACGAGCCGTGTCCCTGCCAGCCCCGCCTGCCGCCCGCAGCACCCCGGGGGTCGGGGCTGCTGGACACGGGGGGGTTACACGGACGAATAAAGCAGCGAATCCCGATCCAGCCGTGTTGCCGGGCCCTGTGTCCGTCGCGACATCCCAGCGCTGCTGCTCCATCGCGAGGTGGCGGCAGAAACCCGCGTTTGGCTGCGGCGCGGACGATCCCGCAGCAGAGGAACGGGCGGGCAGCAGGAGAAGCAAAACACTGGGGGGGACTGGGGGGGCTGCGGGGGAGCCTCTGGTCGTTAAGGGCTCGGGATGTCACAGGGGCAAAGCTGCAACGCTGGGGCTCACACGGGCTTTGCTTTCCTGAGTCTCAGTAACACCGCGCTGTAGCGGGGGACACGAGGGGACGCGGCTTCCTCGAGGGGACAGCGAGGGAAAAACAGATGGACAAACCCACGGCCCTGAGCAGGGACCTGCAGCACAACAACACCCAGCCCGGTGCCGGGGTCAGCCCACCGTGGAGACTCCCACGATCCAGACCCGGCGGGTGAAGTGAGAGCGGGGACAGCCCGTGCTGGGCCCCGACGGCTCCGGGTGCCGCTCCCCGGCCCGGGGCTGCAGGAACCGGCTCACCCCGCAGGGCTGGGCTGGGCGGGCAGAGCCTGGCGCCAAGAGCAGGGCTAAACCTTTCTTTTATAGAGCCAGGTGCCAAGTCGCCCTTTTACAGCAAGAGAGCACGCCCAAATTCCTTGGAATCCGCATCTTTAGGGAAATCAGGCCATATGGCTCCATTTTGCCTGCCCAGGTTTTGCTGGCACGGCCACCAGAGACAGGTTTCACACCCAATCAGTGTCTTGGTGCAAAAATAGCCCTGGCAGTGCCCCTTCTGCACTACCAGCAGAGAGTCAAGGTCCTTTGAAATGAGGCATCGTTCCCATAAGGGCAACAAGAAGCTCAGCACGCCGCAGCTTGAATTATTAAAGGTCTTGCTAAATTGTATTTTGTGCCCTTTTTTGAAATGCAGCCCTAAAACTGGGGCTTCAGAGATGATTTCAGTAAACAACCCACGGGAACATGTCAGCACCTTTAAATCTTTGCCTGGCAGCCCTCCTTCCACTTGATCTTCATTTCTGAATAGCTGCTGCATATTTCATGTAGGAAATATTTCATCCTGATGATTGTCTTGGTCTATTACATTTCAGACCATTTCAGGAAAACAGCAAACTTGGAGCGGGGGAAAAATCACTCCAGCTAAGTGAGAAATGCAGCCAGGACTGGAGGGAGCTGGGGCAGGCTGGCACTGCAGGGGGGCAGGGCAGGGGCTCCACTCGTGCTGTGAATGCACAAATCCTGCTGGGCAGCAGCGATGCTGACGCCAGGAAAGGCCACAGGACCCACCACAGGTGGATTTTCTTCCTGCTGCAAACTCCCTTCCCTGCACAGGCTGCCCCTGCCCTGTGCCAGGGGGATCCAGGAGTGGATCCTCAGGAGCAAGGAGGGTGGACTTGTGTCACCCCAGAAGAGAGAATGGGAACTGAGAAATCAGAGAGGTGTCGGAGGGCTCTGGAGAGCCAAAGGGGTTCCCTGCACTGAAGCTCATGTACAACACTTTTGGGGGACAAAGAAGGTGCCTAAGAAACTGCAGAGAAAGAGTCAGCCCACTGCATCCCCAGGTCAGCAAACTACACTGCAAGGGCTCCCCACCTCTGAGTTCCTGTTACCAAATGCTCTCTTGGAGCCAGCTCACGATTAATCAGCTGCAGCTCCTTTAGAATCAGACTCAGGGAGGATCCTGCAGTACCTCTGGCAGTACCCAAACATTGCTGCACAGTGAGGCCCAGCCCTTTCCCATGTGCTCTCCTGGCAGGCTGGGACAGCTGCTCCATGAGAGCTTTGATTTCCCTCTGTTTTCAAACCACTGCTGTCTAACACTGATCACAAGAGGCAGATGCCTGAGGTCTCAGGTGCGTTCTGACTGGAAGCACGTGGCATTTAAATAATTTATGCCTGTGCCTAAAAATGGCACGATGTGTTTGAGGAGAAGCACGTGCTTGGCATCGGTGCCACATCCCGGCAGTGGGAGCTGCACTGCCATGGGCTGCCGAGGCCCTACTCTGCCTGGAGGGTTTTGTTTGGGCACTGGGAGAGCCTGGGACGTGTGGGACGAGCCCAGCCACAGCTACCTATCATCTTTACTGAGCAGCAACATTCGGACTTGGCTGATCTCTCAGCCAGACCCCAGGTGGGACAACCTGAGCCCAGGGGACACCTGAGACCCCACACACTGGGACAGGCAGAGTTAAGCCCATTTCTGCAGCTCTGTAATAAAATTAATGTTATCTCAGCAAGGGAAAAGCAGCAAAAGAGCAGAGCCCTCTCCCTCTTTCAGAGGTGCTGAGCTCCCAGAGGCACATCTCTGCAGTGAGGTTGGGATGCTCAGACTGCCCAGGCTCTGTGCACGAGTGAGAACGAGATTTTGAACCATCTCACCAAGCCCAGCAGCATCCGCGGGGTCAGCTGGGACTGACGGTGCCAGGGAGGGGATGGAAAACCAGGAGGGATGTCACAGCTCCCGGCCACACCCCAAGCAGCAGCTCCAGCCCCAACAGAAACCTCTGTGTGCCACCCACACAGAAACCTCCCTCCTTATCGCTGGAGCCGCGGCCCTGCCCCTGCAGCGCTGCCGGACACGTTTCCATCGTGGAGCTGCAGCTGCAGGCCCAGCACAGCCCTCCCAGCCACACGTTGGGGTGTCCATCTGTCTCCTGACTCCTTGCTGTCCTGTTGTGTCAAGCAGAGGTTTCCCCCGTGGTATCTGGTGGTTGGACCCGTGTGATGGAGAAGGAAGCTGATACCCAGCCAAGGTGGCAGGAGGAGACCTCACCTGGGCACACCTTCGGTGTCACCAAACCTCACCGAGCCCCATCAGCCCGGGGAGCTGCCCACAGGAGGTGGCCAGCCCTGCCCCACAGGCCGTGCTCAGACTGCAGCCGTCATCCCACCCACACTGTTTGCTCAGACTTTCCGTCCTTCTCCGTCGCTTTGGCCTCTGGTTCCCTCCTCGCCGTGCCCGGGTCTCACCCAGGTCACCTTCCCCTTTCACCTTCCCCTTTCCCCAGGTCACCTTTCCCTGTGTGAAAGCTCCCGAGCTGCCCCCAGCGGTGGAAGCCCTTTCCTGCTGCCAGCCCCCTCCGCAGGGATTCCCACAGCCCCCGGGCAGACTCTGCTTTGCTGCTTTTGTCCCCGAGAATATTGGAAATTGAACAGGAATACAAACATTTGGATTCTAGACACTTCCCAACCCCGACCTTATTTATCATACTTGGCTCTGCTCCTGGAGCTGGGGCCAGAAGAGACTCTGAATGATTTAAGTGATTTAACATGCTGTGCATAGATCAATCTCGCTCTCCCCTCCAGCCACAGGTTTCCCTTAGTGGTTTGCTGCACACTTATTATGTCCATCAATATCAAGCAATTAAAATCCCCCATTATCCAGGCCCTGGCTGCCTTACAACCTCCTCATAAGCTATAAACTATTTCATGATCAACCTCCTTTAAGTGTTCAGGAGTTTGCAGCCCCATCTCAGGGTCCCCAGGCTGTCATTACATCGTGAAGGTCCCATTGGAGCCATGGCCAGATCCAGACCAAGCCACGACTGCCATTCCTCTCCCTGTGTTCCTGATCCGTGCCAGGATTGCTCATTTCTATCCCGGTCTTCCTCCATCCGCTGGTGAGTTTATCTCAGAGCAATTTCCCCTCCCCAGCTCCTGCTTCACTCGCACTGCTGGAGGGGAGCTCCAGACCTGCTGCATTCCTGGGAGCACCCACGGGCTGCCGGATGTCACATCCCAAATTCTGCCCTGCTGCAGAACCGCTTGCTGTGCCCAGCGAGTCCCCAGTGCTGTCACATCTGCGGCCCAGATGTCCCCACACCACAATCCCAGGGCTCTTCTGGAAGGACACGGGCCCGGAGCCGGGACAGCCATCCCTGCAGACGAGTCCCTGTCACCTGGGCAGTGCCAGGGTCCTGCCTCGCCCACGGGTCTCAAAGCAATTTATTAATAACAACCGAGTTTGCTTTGCAATTCCCCATTGGGAGGGACATGAGGGCACAGAAAATATTTGCCTTCCCCATCCTTCTGGGTGCTGCCACTCGCCCAGAGCTGTGGTGTGTCGGTGTGTGCCGGGAGCACCGTGTCCCTCAGAACACCCAGCCTGGCACAAGCAGAGATTATCTGTGCCCAGGGAAGGGCTCACCTTGGCTGAGTGACTGCAGGCCAGATATGATTACAGGCCATGAGTCAAGCAGAAAAGTGCTAATTACAGCACAGAAGGAAGAGGAGAGAGGAGTTGCTAAATTGCACCTAACATGGAGGGGGAGTGGGGAACAGATTGAGAAACCATCATTGAAAAAGGATGGCACAGAAAGGATGATACATGGCTGTCCCAGCCCAGGGCCACCAACACAGACACAGCACCCTGAGGCAGCAGGGACCTCTTGGCAACACTATTTTCATCCTGTCATTTGTATCATCCCGTTCTCCTTGCTCTGTCATTCAGCCCTGAACCCTCTTTGCTCATGCATCCCTTGCCTGGCCAGCGTTTGTATTCCATTGCACTGTTAGAGCTGTTTGGAAACAAAGGAACCAGAGACCCAAACATTGGCATTAGAATAAAAACAGCTTTGCGTGGGGCAGAAGCAGAGTGGAAACAAGGCACAGGCAGGCCCTGAGGAAGGTCTCTGACCTCGCTGGGGGATGACGACCATGGCAGTGACTGCCACGACAGCCCCCTGCCCACAGCCCTGCCCCGAGCTCCCCACCAGTGGCACAAGTGGCAAACAGGGCTTTGTGGGATTCTGGGGCACAACAAAAGTCACTTCTGCGTTTCAGGATTCAGGGGGATCACGCTGCCAGGGCGGACCAGTTCCTGCCAGCCTTTCCTGGCTTGCCAAAGCATACCAGGCTGCCTGAGCATTCCTGTTGGACCCTGGCACGGAGGTGCCATCCCCAGGGCTGGGCCTGAGCCCCGGCACGTGGTCAGTCCAGGGGGAAAGTGGGCAGAGGGCTGGGAATGGTTTCTCTGATGCCCGGGGTGCTGGTTCCCACCGGGA